CTTCGCCTGCAGTAATACTGTTATTAGTACCATTTAGATAATATATGGTGCCACAAACATCCCAATGGACGTCAGGTTATGCATTGAAGGTTGATAAATCTAATCCACCCAGGAACTTATGCTATAGGACTTTTGGAGGGGTGGGGTGGGGGTGCCGAATGGTTAGCACGTGCGCGCTGTATCATACGATCTGTCATTGAGTCAACTGGCGCTGTTTCGATTCCCCGGTTGTACGTGACAAGGAGTAGGGTCGCCTGTCCAATCTCGTGGGTTTTCTCCGGGTCCTGCGGTTTCCTCCCACTGCTAAAGACCCCTACGCGCAAGCGAATTATTGAAATAAAATTGAACCATGTGTTAGTCCCGAAATGACCTAGTTTGTGTCGAGTGGACGTTACTCCCCCCCCCCTCTCTCTCTCCCTCGCTATAGGACTTGGATACAGTCTCTCAGTTAAGGATTAGTTTTAAAGACGGCGTGTAAAGGAGGTTAAAATAAATCTTAAACAAATCAATCATCGTATCCTGTAACTAGATTATATAATCAATATATAGTGCTTGAACCACGTTTAAACCGGAAGATACATTATAAACATAACCATTTATCTCCCCCTTAATCTGTCCCGGTGACAGCGGATAGTGTACACGTTAACGTAAATCATCTTTACAAGTAGACAGGAAAAAAAAAACACCAACTAAACTTTTAAGATCAGCGAAAAAATCAATCAAAATGATATAGAGCATGAAATGAAGCTGGGAAGAATCTATTTGTGTATTTTTCTTCGATGATGCCGCGTCTTAATCTACTTAATCTTGGGATCGGGAACAAATCCGTAGAGAAAAGTGAAGGATTATCACAAATTTGTGTAGATTATTGTGTGGGAAAGTGAAAGTTGCGTTGGTTTTCTCCCCCCAATTTTGTTGTAATCCTTACTAAATGAGTTATTCATTTATGATATAAGTCAGCGAAATTGGAGGCTAACGTTCAATGCGAATGTATAATTTTGCTTATTAATAAAATTCTGACGATTTCAAACTGGTAGCGGGCCTGAGCGGGCTGGGGCCTGTTTCACGAAATTTTAACTAAGATAAAATCCAAATTTTAGTAATTTGATTGGATAATATTAGATGGATTTTAGTGCTTAGCCAATCGAAATTGAAGTATCTACTAAAATTTGGATTTTATCTTTAGTTAAGATTTCGAGAAACAGGGCCCTGATATCCCTGATTTGTTGTTAACTGTGAAGAGTGTAGTCTTGATCACCCAGAACATCCTAGTCTAATATTTTTCTGGGCGATAGAGAGACTGAGAAGAACGCAGCATTGAATTTAATTACACATGCGTTATGGCCATTTCCGCTTCAACGGCGATTGAAAAGTGCTGAAGATTTTTTTTTTGATTTTTTTTTTCGTTACAAGACCATTTATTTATTATGTTTAAGACGACAATTTCTATCAAAATAAATTTATATATTATGTTAAAAAAAGGAAAACCTATAAATATAATTAGTAAACCAGTGGTTGCCATGCAAGATAGAGTCACAATTTGGACAGGGAACGAGCTAAAAAATAAAAGTCACTTTTTGTAAGATCTGGGGCTATTATCCAGGAAGTTACTGTCCGATACATGCCAATAACGCAAGGGACCGAGATCTTTGGGATATCAACAAATATTCCAAGTTTCGTCAAAATCAGATAAATATTGTGACCTGTAGAGTGTCCACAAACAAATTCTAGACGGATGGACCGACGTTCAGACGGACAGGGGCGACAACATACGTCAACATGACAATGTGGGCGTATAAAAATCATTTGCCCTGAGTTATTGACTGTGTCAAGAAGTGATCGTTCGAGATTACTTTCCATCTGTCAGTTGGTTTACATTCATATTAAGATTAAGAGATAGACTAGTATCGTCTGCTGGAAGATCGATTTTTATCATCAGGTTTCACTGGAAACCTTCATCTTATTCTGTGACAGCCAAACGACATAATATGAACATTTGTAATAACAAGATGGCCACCGCTTAAATTTATTTTAGGAGCAATAAACTACATTTGATGAGGTCTAGTGCGAACGTGGTGAGTTCATGTTCAAATTAGATTTATGTTCAAATTTGGTCTGTCGTTAATATTTATAACTTTTCATCATGAATAACTGAATCTGAGAAGATAGAAGTGGGTAGATTGTGTCTAACGTTTCTTTACGCCAGACATATTAGCTTGATATTAGAATCCATAATCATCTATGTTTGAATGTTTTGAATTTCTGCTTTGAAATATTCGTTATAGGATCATCCAGCCCTTGAAGTTTCCAAACCTTTCTATATCATTGTATCATTCGTGTGTAGGTGGGTTGGATGGCTGAATGGTCAGCGTGCGCGCGCTGTATCATAAAGTCTGTCATTGAGTCGACTAGCGTGGTTTCGAATCCCCGGTTGTACGTGGCAAGGAGTAGGGTCGCCTGTCCAACCTCGTGGTTTTTCTCCGGGTCCTCCGGTTTCCTCCCACTGCTAAAGACCCCTACGCGCAAGCGAATTATGTAAATAAAATTAAACCATATGTTCGTCCCGAAATGACCTAGTTTGTGTCGAGTGAACGTTAAATCCCATTCCTCTGTCTCCCTCTCTCATTCGTGTGTATGTTTATATGCTAAGCATTAAACATACATTATGCAAGGGCTACATCTGCCAATTTCAGGTCTTTCTTTAGACCTGAAATGTTATCTAAATTATTAATTAAACATTAATTAACTTATCCACACCATAATCAACTCTCGATGTCATCGCTAACCTGCGATATTTACTGGATTGTAATCCGATCTGCTGTTCAACGCTCATTCATGATTCAATAAAAAAAAAATGGATAATCGAGACTGTGGGTTTTTTTATCGTACCGAATTTAGTAATGATGATCGAGGCTAGGCCCAAAATTCAATCGCTAAATTCTCGGTGGATCAATTTGACTGAAATTTTCAGCACATTCTCTTTACATTATCTAGTTTTTAACTGTTATAGTTATAACTGTCAACTCTTTATCTAATCTCCCATAATGTACCTTTAAAAGATGTTCTGAAACCATCTGTCCTAACGCCTCTAGTTAATTAACGTTTGTCACGACTATACCTGTTATTATATGAATCAGTATACAGCTGGAGAAGAAATGCCAGAAATGCCAATTCACTGACACCGTGAATAAAACTCAAGAGAAGGCAGTACATGTTTAGAATAAACGAGCATACTATTCAGAGTCTCCCAAAAAAGAAACAGGCGGTAAGCTTCTCACAGAAAAAAAATTCTTTGACAATGACAAGCTGTCGAATTTCTGTAGACAATTTTCCTAGTTCCCATATAATTAATCTAAAATGAATTCTAGATGAATACTCCAGAAAATGATGTTTTATAGGCGACCAAAACATAATTAGTTAACCTTTTTTTACCGATGAATATTTTCTGTTTATTATTTCATTGATATAATGGAAAGTAAAATGGGTCCCTTGAAATGGTAATTGGGATGCAAAAGGCAATTTCGAGAATCAACCGCCCCTTCAAACAATCTTACCGTTTCCTATAGAATCTGCGTCTTTTCAGAGCAACACACTTTGTTTTGTGTAAAACAAAATCACAAATACAAATACTAATAAAAAAACAAAAAAAAAAACGAAACGAAACAACATCAATGTAATTATTCTGATTAAAAATAAGTTAGGGCGTAGTATTATTGTGCAATAGAAATTGATGATATATAATCCACGTCTCTAATGATGGTTCTCATAATATAATGGTGTATCTTTCCGGCGTGGGTGGCGGTTGATAAAGCAAAACTGATCTAAAAACGAAGCAAAAACTTTCCATATATTTTATGATCTGAAATTTACACCAAAATAGACGACGCGCAACTATATAAAGCACGCCATTAGTCAGAAATTCGAATCTTTTGAAGGTGCATGTGATAATATTATATAGAACATGGCGTATTTATTGCATCCGGATTGAAGACCATCCAATTATCATACAAACTATACTGTTATATAAAAGTGATAATTATATTAACAAAATTAACTCCTCACCATAAACCACTGCATGTGATAAACACGGTATGAGTGATACTGCCACATTTTAGTCAATTGTCGAGCTTTCTACAATCAGCAAGATTAAATTATATAAACGAATTATCATCTCCCCGGTTTTACGTAATCCTTATACTACCTGTTAGAATTGACCGGTATTATTGTCTCTTGACCAATATAATTATTGATTATCTTGTCCAAAATCACGGAGGTCAGTACCGTTTTTGTTCTGGATTCAGAAGTGCAGCGTATTTCAGCTGAAAAAATATTTATAACTATATTATTTTCACGATCCAAATTTATGTACACAACAGTTGGACGAAAGGCAATTTCGTTATAAATTGCATTATCGCCTACATCTTTGGTAAGTGTTAGCCACATAGCTAAACGTTCTGCTGGGCCTCAGGTGGTTGTATACTTCGAATTTACATATTATTATGTACGTATAAGAAGAAAAGAAACACTTAGGGACAGACGATGTGCTGTTATATTTTTCGTCTGTTTTTCCTTGATTGTTTGTTATGGAAATTGTTACGCCTTGCAGCTTGTGACTTATATTACAATTGTTAACAACGGACGGAATATAACTAGATAGATAGAGAGAGAGAGAGAGAGAGAGAGAGAGAGGGGGGGAGAGAGAGGGAAAGAGAGAGAGATTGGGTTAAACGTCCACTCGACAAACTAGGTATTTTCATGACTTACATATGGTTCAAATTTATTTCAGTAATTCGCTTGCGCGTAGGGGGATACCGGAGGACCCGGAGAAAACTCAAGGGGTTGGACAGGCGACCCTACTCCTTGTCATATACGACCGGGGAATCGAAACCACACCAGTTGACTCAATGACAGACCTTATGATACAGTGCCCACCCCCACCCCCCTATCTCATGTAGAAAATACGTAATAATGTATTGTTGTTTTTTTTATTTTTATTGCAGATTAGAGTATATTAGTATCTTGTTAGTATGAAGCTGTATGTGATTTTATTGACGATTGTTGTATTCACTGCCTTGGTATGGTCAGCACCAGCAAGCTTTTTGGATGAAAATGAAATAGAATTAGGTAGGATATTAATCATTGAAGACAAAGTCCTGTCTCTGGTTTTGATGAAGCTATCAAATTGGTATTTAGATCTAATGAACTAATGAATGTCTGCTACAATGTTTAATTAGTTCTTTAATTGATAATTAGACAAAATGGCACTGACTGCCCGAGAAAAAATATTTAATGCAGCTGTAACGGTCCGATTGGATGGTTGGAATTCAGGTCGGCATAGCATAGAGTGGGATTTCAGTTGAGAAACGATTTCTTAACTCGCTTGCTAGAATGGCAGAAAAACGCATTTTCAAAATCTTCTCTGGGAGGGCGAAGGCCCCATACCGCGCGACGATCGATTGGTTGTTTGGGATTCAAGTCAGCCATTTAAGTCAGGCTATATCGGTCCATATTGAAGTTGCTGTAATCACGGGCTGACATAGGAAAATACGTTCAATTTTCAAAATTTTCTCCCGGCGGTTCCGTCTCCGTGGACTGATGGTTGATGGTTGATTGGAATTCGAGTCAGCCACCTAACTAAGACTATATATTAGACCACTTTGAAGTTGTTGTATTCGCGGGCTGAAATTTTCTGTCCGGGGGGGGGGGGGGGGGAGGGGCTACACGGTAAGCTCAACTCCTTCGCTTCTCTCAGAAGACCAGCGCCGCCGTCTGTAACCCGATATTTTTTCTGATATTTCAGGCTCTACCCCCACCCCCACCTATGACATTGACAATAATCAGTCTGACAGACAATAAAGGGAATGTTTATACATTGCCTGCGATATAGGTGGAAGCAGTAGTTAACCGCTACTACTCTGTGGTTAGATTTATCTGATAAGGCCAACAAGTTTGGTCAAAGGTCACTAGATGTAAACAGAGTTAGCACTAATCCCAAACCTAACCCTAAATCTGAACCTAGTCCCAATGCTTACCCTAACACTAACATAATCTCGCCAACAATCTTGTGCCCAAACCTTAGTTACATCTAAGCGACCTTGACGAAAATTGAGTTCGTCTTAACAAATAGATTTAGCCCGCTACTACCAGGTTTATACAATTTAATTATATGTTCTTTTCGTTTTGTGTATTGGGCTAAACTCAAGATGGGATGGGTTAAAGCCTCGCAAATTAAAACGGAACGAAAATTTGATATAATTATAATAAGAGACTAAGGTTCACCAAGCTTAAAACTTTGTACTCATTTACGTTTCAGCCAAACGTGCCAAAGAAACTATTATGTTTGGGAATCAACAAAATGCCCCGAGAGTTAAAAAGAGGGACCCCGAGGACGCTGTTGGAAGTGATTCTGTTGAAAATATTGAAAGTGAGAGTGCTAGCGATAATGATAGTGATGAAGATGAAAGTAATTTAGACTTAAAGGGGAATGTGGTTGCCATGCCTGCTCGTAATACATTAGGATCCGATGAGGCTTCTCCGTCATCTGTTGAAGAGGAACTAGGTGACGCAAAGGCTACTGCAGAAGAAGCAGCTGAAGTCAACAGTGCCGAAGAGAGAAAGGGGAATGCTGTTGAAGACGAAATAGATCCTGATGTTAAAGATATGCTTGATTCTAGCGAAACCAATAAAGACTCTGAAAGTGAAAGTGGGGACGAGAAGCAGGGAGACGAAGTTGGTCTAGTGCCAGTTCCCGACACAGAAAATCCTGAAGATGTAGACGACTTCTACAAGTACCTCATGAGATATGGTAAGTAAACCGTCTTACTTTATGGATACTTTAATAACTGTTTATAATAAGCACGCCACGAACCAATGAAATTCCAGGATTATGTGTAGGGGTTCGACTTTCAAGCCTATATGGAAGGTGGTGGTTATTGTAGGACCAGAAGACATTTTATACCGAAGTAAAATCGTAATTGTTACAAACGTGTTGCTAAAATGTACTGCACAAGTAATCACTATTCCGAAATGATAATTTATTGCTAGTAGAATATTTCACAGGCAGGAGTTTTTGTCGACCAGCTGTTATGTTTCTCTTCGCCGATAATAAGCTGACACAATACCAGGTGATATCGCTTCATGTCGAAATTTTGTCCATTTTTAATATGGATTGAACGTCCCACCCAAGGTGAATTTTTAGTGCTGATATAGCCTTTATCCAAGAGTCCACTCTATCCTAGTTATTCTCACATTAGTCTCCTCCCCCCCCCCCCCGCCCGTTCCAATACCACTTTACTAGATGTGTGGCTATATTTTCTGCATTGTGGTCCAATCTATAGGATCTGTGTTTTAATCAGATTGCATTGTGGTCATTACAGAACTCGTTGCCGGTGTCGCGATTTAACTCGATTCCATACTGTTTTTAGCAACAGTTTGCCAAAACAGTAAGTCTACACAATACAGTACCAAAACACCTGTTTTTATTCCAATTAATCAAATAATATACTTTCCTGTATTTTATAATTACAGAAAACCCACAGAGAGCCGATCTGTACAATCGACTTCCACAATATCCTCCTCGTAGTTATTATAATTACCGTAGGCGAAGAAGTCTTATGAGACACATGAAAAGAAACGGGTATAATTCCAACAAAGCAGTAAAGAGAGCAAAGAGAATAAAGAGAGATTTATTTGACGACGATGAGTATTACTACCCCAACCTCGTGGAAGCACCTGTTTTGGAGGAACCTGGCTATGGAGAATTAGAATTTTACCCCGAACCAGAACCTGAAGTTGATGAAGGTGATCTATTGGCTTATCTTCTTTCATTGTATGAAGACGGAAATGAAGTTGAAGAACCAGCCTATGAAATTGAAAATCCGTATGAGCGTTTATTAGAAGAAGAAGCACGAGAAGAAGAAGAGGCAGAAGAAGCAGCTCGAGAGGAAGAAGAGGAAGAACCGGTGTATGTACCTGTTAAACGACAAATGTTGAGCACATTACCAGGGATGAGGAAACGATACTTCTATCCCTTCAACAAGGAACCACAAACTCATTGGGGAGCCTTTGTTCCAGAACAAAAAAGAGATTATTATAATGCCTATGATCGTGTTCTTCGTTTAGCCAAAGCGTTAGCTGATCAGGATTCTTATTACCCAGATATATATGACGTAAGTACTGTTCCCATTTTGATAATACTTTCTGTTTTGAGTTTAACGATGTAGACTATGGCATTTGTCGATCTACAGTGGCGGAACCAGCATTCAGAGCAGCATATTGCACCTGTATAGGGAAGCGCAAAATATTTCATTTAGCTCTAAATATTCCACCCAGTTTACATGTTTCCTATAAATAAAGAGTCTCTATGGATAGGTACAGCTTGTAAGAACATTCTATGTCCTATGGAGACCACGGTGGCTGGGCAGCAGCCTGGAGGTCGCGTGTTCGATCCCTGCATTGGCCGAGAAAGTTCATCGAGCTTTTCCGGCGTGGTTCCCCCTTTTCAGTGGTACAGTATAGAAGGCCTGACAAGGGACAACTTATAGTCGTTCGCATAGGACGAACAACCGAGGTCCTGTGTACACATTGGCGTGCACGTAAAATATCCTTTGACAGTTGAAATTCGATATAAGAGTAGGCCGTAGTGCCGCTGTCCGGGAACAACTTAACTCGTGCACGTAAAAGATCCTTTGACAGTTGAAATTCGATATAAGAGTGGGGGTAGTGCTGTGTCCGGGCAACATTTCCCGGCGTATGCCCGTCTCATTAGACTAGTCGGAGCAGAACAGTAGAACGTTAAACACCAATTCATTTTCTTTGTCATTTAATTCGAATCCGACTAAGCTGTATCTCCTTAAATTACCCGAACTCTAAGATAGCAATTATAGAACTTCCTATTCTGGAGGAGTCAAATTTCACAGAAAAAAATTTGGCCAGATATTAGAATTTTTCCAGCACGTACACTATCTACATTGTACCTACTATAAATAAACGAAGTTGGCGAAATTCTGAAATGGCTTTAACCATTTTATTGGCCTGGTTTTTCCATTAAAAATGTGAAAATTCCTGTTTATAACAGTGCAATTAAACCCAGCTATTCCAGAATTTCGACAGGATGTTGATGAAGAACAATTCCAGTTTTTTTGTTTGCCACGATCAAAGGATGTCCTTAAAAAACCGCTGATTTCTGATTCATTGGCAATAACTCCAATTGTCCAAACATCGGAAATTGGAAGAAGAGTGCATATGATTGGAAAAGCAAGTCTGCCTAATTTTTTCTCCTGGCAAAAATGTTTGTTGACACCGCGTGTTCACGCCATTCGTTTCCTTTCGTTATACACTGAAATAATCCTAGTGTATTCAGGTACACGGAATCTTAAAGATACATTATGGGAGATTAGATAAAGAGCTGGCAGTTCTCACTGTAATAGTTAAAAACTAGATAATGTAAAGGGAATTTGCTGAAAATTTCAGTCGAATTGATCCCCTCTGAACCGAGAATTTAGCGATTGAATTTTGGGTCTAGACTCGATCATCATTAATAATTTAGATAACATTTCAGGCCTAAAGAAAGACCTGCAATATGCAGATTTAGCTCTTGTATAATGTATGTTTAATAGACTTGTTCCATACGTTTATTAAGTTTAGGATACAGGGGGATGGGGGGGGGGTAATTCATTCTTGACAATTGGAGATTTATACATGAACACATTCTTAAGAATGTAGGACCAAAGAAATCGCTGCAAATCGAGAAAATAAAGCCCAATCAAAACCAATTCCAATAGTTGTGATTCGACGTTTCATGAAAGTGTTGTCTTTAACGTCCATTACACACAAATTAGGTCATTTCGGGACTAACATATGGTTCAATTTCATTTCAATTATTCGCTTGGCCGTAGGGCTTTTTAGCTGAGGGGGTAAAGCGGGGGGCCCGGAGAAAACCCACGAGATTAGACTGGCGACTCTACTCCTTGTCACGTACAGCGGGCACTTGACTTAATGGCAGACCTTATGATCTAATCCACACGCGTTAAACCATTCGGCCACCCCCACCCTCCGGTCTATATCGAACTCGTTCAGATAAACAATTTATTCTTCTTTGATCAATATATAATTTGAAGTTTCCAATGGAAATTTTCACCTCAGTTCCGCCACTGTCATAATTATATATCCGTGTATAAAAACATTATAATGTGACGCTAGCGGCTGCAACTAACATCCTGTAATTTGTACATTTCCAGGGTTACCAGAAGAAGTAGATGGTGTAAAGGTATATTTTTAATAGTGTGAGAGCAGGAGGAGTATATCGGGGAAATACCGTGTAATTTGTTTGTTTTTCTTTTAAATGTCGGCTTTATTTTCAGTATGTAATACTGTTGAACCAATTGTTGTTATGTAATCAGTATTATTTGAAATAGTTTTCAGATACTAACTTTGGTGAACGTAGCGTATATGTTTGTTTTTTTTTTTTAAATTATTATTATTATTTTTTTTTTTTTTTGGTGTGTATTTTATGATGTTATACTGTAGGACCACGTTACAAAGTTATTTAAATATAATGTGATATTAATGTACGTGTATTTCATGAGTAACGGAACCAAGAACTATATCATTGGGCTCGCAGTTAAATCTGCAACCAACACTAACTCTCTTCCCCCCCCCCCCCCCCCGACCTTACTCGGTCTGATTTCTTATGGCGCAGCTTAAAGGTTTAATTTTAGCGGTCAAAAGCTCAGCATTAAAGCCGCAGTAAGGCTGGGTCCCTCAATCCTGATATCCCCCCACCCCCTTCTCCCCCACTTCTCTGCCTTTGTTATCACATTGCCCCTTCTGTGCCATTTTTTCTTCCAAGAAACTTGGTTCCGATACTATTGTTAATGTTATTAAATAAATTTATTTTGAATAATTCAAACTTATTTCTTCTTGTTCAATATTTGTCTGAAACTGTACATTCCTGTTAAAATAATCAAAATAACGACATTTGTGTATTCTGCATTAAATACAATCCTGTCATAACGATAATACAGAAATACATAATTATTTATAAAGAAGCATCCATGGAGTATATTTCTATTTGATAACGAAATATTAAACATAGCAGTATATAAAATACACTATTTTATCATGATATATTTTAACTTATGAAATATAAAACTATGTTAACTTTCTTTAAAGTTACAATTTCATATTTTCTAAGAAAGTCAAAACATAATTATTTTTATGTCTTTTGCTCAATAGGTTGTCAACTCACTATTATACCATCATAGGTTATCTTTCTCCACACTTAAAAATCTTCACACCGGAAATAATAACACAATTACCCCCCAATTACCTCCCTTGTTTTCCTATTCCCCACCATGGGATAGCTATCTTCAAACGTTTGAATTTGAAGTTGAAAATGATATTTTTGCCAATTTCTCAACTGGCAATAGTGAATTATAGGCTTAATAGGATTATTCTTTAACAAGGTAGGACTGTTTATAGATACCATCTATTTTAGGGCTTTATTTTAATACATTTTAAAAATATAACTTAAAAATATGAAATTGTAACTTTAAATATCTCGTGGATATGCTGAATGTTAAATAAATGGTTGAATGTCAAGCGTTGATGTGTTCATATATTTTATTGATTGGATATATTTGTCCCGTGTTTTTTTTACTCCCACACAGTTTTCTGTGGATATATATTACAGTATACCATTTCTCTGATAATATCGTATGTCCAATAATGTCGACCCCAAATTAAATATATTTTTAGACATCAGATTTAAGTCGAAAAGACCAGATACATTTAGGTTGCATCACGCAACTTTATTTAAACGGAAACCTGTTTTCTGCTGGTTTCATGTTATTCGTCTGTGGGCGATGGGCGGTGGTGGTGAGGGGGGGGGGGGCTCGTTCGTTCCCGGTGTTGACCGATATAGTTCACTGGTTTTTTTTGCCCGGTATGATTCCGTTGTCGGTGACGATTGACAAGGTACCTGACAAGGGATTACGGATAGTGGTTAAGTTGGGACGAAGACACCGAGATCCGGTGTACACATTGGCGGATACGTAAAAGAACACTTGGCAGTTGGAATTCAATATAAAAATAGGTCGCTGCGCCGTAGCCTGACAAAATTTCCCTCATAGTCCGTCTTCATTATCCCTGTCAGAGCTATGGCAGTAGGACGTTAAATCCCATTTCATTTCATTTCTGTCTGTAGGGCCTTCCATGTCTTATCACGTCCATGAAGAAACGACTTTAGTATTGTTTCCCCTCTACTCATCCTGGGAGCCACCGTGGATCAATAGGTAAGACGCTGGCTCGCTAACTTTTCCTGGAGCCCGCGGGTTCGCTCCCGGTGTTGGCCAATAAAGTTCATCGGGATTTTTCGGCGTGGTTCCTCCTTGTCAGTGGTGCAGGACGGGGTGGGGTGCTGGAAAGGACGGCTGTCTAGTCGTTCGGATGGGACGAAAAACCAAAGTCCCGTGTACACATTGGCGTGCGCGTCAAAGATTCCCTGGCAGTTCGAATTCGATATTAAGAGTAGGCCGTGGCGTCGCTGTCCGGGCAAAATGTCCTTCACAGCACACCGTATAACGTATTCCCGTCTTTATTAGCTCAGTCTGAGCAAAACAGTGCGAAGTTAAACCCCATTTCATTTCATTTACAACTCATCCTGGAAATAGCCAACCAATTAACAAATTAAAATTTAATATTTGATCCACCACACGCTATTTCAACTATACAAGTGGGGACAGCCTTAAGAATTCTGGCAAATGAAATGGATTAATATTTAATGTAGTGTAGAACAAGGCAACAAAATACCTATATATATATATTGCTATTACTTACAAAGTAAAACATGCTGTGAGCAGAGACGGGCGGGCGGCAGGTACGTTTTCGAGAAATTCTTTCTCAAAACCAGACAATCCCCAATTGCGTGTCTATTCATTTTTTTATCTCAACAATCCGCTGTTCCGCTGAGCCGATTGTGAATAGAAATTGTATTGATGGACTTGCCAACCGAAGAAGACGGTGTCGTATTGTTAATTGCGGACTATCTGGTTATCATACTAATGAGAAATTGGACTATTTGTCTGTCTAGTGTTTTTTCGCCATCGACAAGGTCCAGTATTAAGAAGCCTGGTGGTCAAATTTCTTATCTAGAAAAACAAATTTAGCAATAGGATGTTGTTTCTCTTTGTTGATTCGCGTGATTAAACTTTTTCAGTTTTCAGACGATAATGCAGAATTTCCATAAGATCTGGTTCACTTGCGGAAGAAACTTTCCGGCAGCTACTCAATTTTCCAAACATGTATCTCCGATTTATCCAAACTAAGCCATGAACCGACCACTTGTCGATATTAAAATTATTAATTTTGTTCCCAGAATAAACGGTCTTGTCACAAAAATTCGGAACGCATTTCTACGAAAGACAGATTTGATAGTTCTATTTCCGGTACAGATTCTCCCTATAGTAGGCCTATACTCCTAATTTTGTGACGAGACACAATTAATAATTTTAATATCGACAAGTGGTCGGTTCATGGCATAGTTTGATACACGTTAGAAAATTGAGGGTTAGTGCTAAATGATAAGGCCAGATCAATTTTTATCAATTTTTTGTCATAGGTCACGAGATGTAAACAGGGCTAGCGCTAATTCGGAGCCAAACCCTAACCCTGGACCACCTAGACCCCATTCTTACTTTAACCCTAACCTACAATCTCGCCAACAATCACGTGCCCTAACCTTATTTACATCTCAGCGACCTTGACAAAAGTTGAGCTGGCCTTAACAAATAGATTTAGCCATAGAACAGCTACAACGTGCAGCTTTACGCATGTGTCACAGTGTGACCTTAGTTAAATGCAGGTACCTGTTCAATGAACGGCACCAAACTAGTCTGATTAAAACACAGATCCTATTTCGTTTCGTTTTTTTATAGTTCAAAATTTCGTTTTACTTGTCTGGAAGAGTTGTTATATAACCTGTGTTCTGGCAGATGTGAGGGATTATCCAATGAAACGGTCTGTTGCAACGAGTTCTTGGCGTGCTCTGTACGGAACTGTGGGTAAACCCCTAGAAACATCAATGCTGATTGATAAATCAGTGTCTGACGTCATAGGGTCAAAAGCCGCTCGTATGACCCCTGACACGACCTCCCAGTACAACTGGTCAGATCTTCATGTAGTGTAGGCCTTCGAAAGTATAAAAAAAAACGAAACGAAATATAGATCTGTATTTTAATCAGATTGGGCACCAAACTACCCCCAGGTGAATTCGGCGTCCATTCTGTGACAAAAAGTTATGAATTAAATTCTGATTAGTCATTACGCGCAGTACCCCCCCCCCCCTCCCCCCCCCCCCCTTCGCAACCTCACCACCTGCACGCTCTTGGTTTCGTTCATGATGATCATACGAGTTCGTCTAAACTGTGTGGGTTCCTTAAATGTATGTGATATATATAATAATCAATGTAATTTTATTTCTTCAATAATATATATATATCAACCAATTTCCCTTGATAACTGATGACGTGCGTGGTATTTGTTATCATGATTTATTATTATGATTCAAAGAAGCGGAAATCTCATTTATTCAATATCAAAAAACAATTATTTCTGAATTAGAAAAAAACAAACAGTTTGTTAAATGCGCAAGGAAGCGTTATTGATTAATATTTACAGCTGATTTATTTCATTTATTTATGCATATGAAGAAATGTACCGTATTAATGAAGACATTTAAAGGACAGAATAGCAGAATTATACAAAAAGAATTTGATTTAATCGCGGAATTGGCAATAAATTAGTATGTGGTGGTATTTGGTGGTATTGGGTAGAATTGGGTGAATTTTCCTGCCACCTAGAATATGTTTAACTTGGCTAAACAGATTCCAAATATAATTGTAAGTATAGGTCTTTGCTAGGGTTGATCTGTGCCGGCTACGCGTAAGATCCGGATATTTAACACAAATACAGAAGAGAGAAAGAGTTTAACGTCCACTTGACACAAAATAGGTCATTTTGGGACTAACATATCATTCAATTTTATTTTAATAATTCGCTTGCGCGTAGGGGTCTTTGACAGTGGGAGGAAACCGGAGAGCCCGGAGAAAACCCACGAGATTGGACAGACTGGCTTACTCCTTGTCACATACAACTTGGGAATCGAAACCATGCCAGTTGACTCAATGACAGACCTTAAGATAAAAAATTCCAGTTGGGGGGGGGGGGGGGATGATCATTTTTTAAAAAAAATTATTATCCGTTTTGGCGCAAAAAATATAAGCCAGCGTGAGCTCTGTGGTTTCGGGATAAAAATTCGACATTACTGAACAAATATTTGGCTAAAGGGTTAATCGGAATAGTCTATGCATGCATGATCTGTAGGAATTTATTATGTCGGCTATGGAATGCATATAAATACTGTATTTGATCAATAAAGTTCGTCTGGCCTATAGATTTAGGTCGCAAGTTGAATTGTGATTTTATTACCATATGCTGGAGACTGTTGCAGTATATATATATTATGACTTTATATACCAATCATGTCCCTGAAGCAACGAATGCGAGATTTACAACATCTGTCTGAACAGATTCCAAATATAATTTGATCAGATGTACGGAGTTAAAGCGAGATCAAGCCTTCTATTGTGAAGATGTACACCAATATGAACTACTGTTTTAATGACAGCAAAAATTTACCAAAAGTTGTCTAATATATGATGCACGGAATGTTTTCTTATCCTATGTATGTGGGGCGCATCAGAGGTCATACGAGCGGCTTTTGACCTATTACGTCAGACATTTGATTAACCAATCAGCATTGATGTTACTAGTGGATTACCTACAGTTCCGCTGTGTTGTGAAGACAAGTAAAACAAAATTTTGAACTATAAAACACGAAACGAAATAGGATCTGTGTTTTAATCAAATCGCTAACTTACACGCTCTTACAGAGTCTCATTTTGCAATCATCTTGTCTTCAGGTGAGAGCTGTACACGTTTCCGCCATCTAATATTATCAATAACAATATTAGTCTCCTGTATTTAGGTCACATCCGGAACTTGCTAATGGGCATTAAGGATCAACAACCACAAAGATCTTTACTTTTAAAATTTTCACCTGGAAACTGTGTTAAAACATCTAAAATTGGTGGACGGCAACTTCCGTCCGTCATTAGGTCACTATACATTTGGAATTCCTTCTAGATGTCTGTCGCTTCCTTTCTTCCTTTTGGATGGCGATTTTGTTGACTTTAAGTGTAGAATCAAAGGAAGGGGTTCTGCCACATTTTGGTGAACAATCAAAAATTTCGGGAAAAAGTTTGAGCCTGTCAAGAGACGCGAATTAATGGGGAAATCAACGGTGTGCTGTGACCGTTTAAAACACACTAAAGGGGGGTAACCCCCGCTACAAATTTGGACTAGTGGTTCTAGTAGTTAAACCAATTCCATGTATTGGCCATCAACAACATTGAAGGCGGGTGACCATCTCGATTTCTGAATCAGATTAAATGCATCTAGTTTGTGACAATGATATTATCTTTGCAGATGATTTCCCCAATTCATGAGTCATGACCCTTCTGCCACAAAATCATGTTCACCAAAACCAGGCAGAAAATTGAAGTTCTTCTTTGATTCTAGACAAAAATTGACATGCAAAACGGTGAAAAAGAAAGAATCACTACTTTGAGACATGGTGTTTGTAAACAATTTATTGTTTCGGGCTTTTTATACTCCCGGGGACAGGGATGGGGTGGGGTGGGGTGGGGTGGATAGCTGAATGGCTGGCCATTTCGCGCTGTATCATTAAGTCAACTGGCGTGGTTTCGATTCCCCGGTTGTACGTGGATTTCTCACCAGGTACTCCGGTTGCCTCCTACTGCTAAAGACACCTTCGTGCAATTGAATTATTGAAATAAAATTGAACCATATTTTAGTCCCGAAATGACCTAGTTTGTGTCGAGTGGACGTTAAACCCCATTTCTCTCTCTCTCTCTTATTCTCCCAGTCCCATGAACAGTGACAAACAGGGGAATTATGATGGAAGGCAATGCATGAGCCATCTGAATAGGAAGCCATCTCCACAAGGATAAATATATTTGTTAAGGCCACCTCAGTTTTTGTCAAGGTCGCTGAGATGTAGATAAAGTTACAGCATGTGATTGTTAACTAGATTGTAGGTTAGGTTTAAGAATTTGGGGGAGAGGTTAAGTCTCCACATAAGCACTGACCTAGGATGATGAAAAGTTAGTTCGTGATATTTCCTAGTTTTATTAAAAATACATACAATACATTAGGTTTATATACAAAAGCCTTTTCACTGTTTTTTGGTGTTGGTGGTGCTGATGGTCTTCCTTGGATGGTGCTTCTGGTATTTTTGTTTCTGAAGAAAAAAAGAATAAATTTGAGGCTCTCGGGGGAGAGCCACATTAGTTTGTTTCCTACTACGAATTGGATTTTCTAAAAAATCGTGTTTGTTCCACATCACCGGGTTAGGGCTAGGGATTCCTATATCTAGTTGATTTTATTTACTAACGGTTAGGGATAGCATTTGATATATGGTTTGTTTTGGGTTAGGGTGGAGACTGGTCTTATTTAATCTAATTTACTGTGCACTAGGATGTCGTTCAGATTTTTATTTTTAGAATATGCAATTATAAGTTTCTGTGTGAATATTTTCGGGTGATTTTCTTGGAGATCAGTATAGTGTTTTCTGATGATTTTAGATGCACTTGCTGCTGTTGCACTAAATGGAACTACAAAAGGGGCTATTGCGCTAGCCGTATGAATACTCAAACCAATCCAGAATTTTTCTCTTGTTAGCCTAAACGTTTTAATTTCTTCTGTAGTTTCAAAGTCGCTCTTGGTCTTTTCTATTGGCGTGACAATGAGATCAGAAATGTCATGATTTGGTTGGTTGAAATGAATTGAGACCGGTTTGTCTTTTTTGGTGACTATGTCTGATTGGTGACCGTTAATTCTTTCCCTAAGTGCATTTTGAGTCTCCCCTACGTATTGCTTGTCACATTGTCTGCATGAAATTAGATAAATTATGTTTTAACTACTGCATGAAAGTTGATCTAATATTGGGAATTGTGTGCCAGATGTTTTGTTATGGAAATGATCGGATATGTTTAATATTTTGAGGTATATCTAGATAAATATATATTTCTTATTTAGTGTAAATGGATATATAAATGAGCAAAAGGCACCATTCTGTCCGGACCAGGTCATACTCACGTCTTATGTAAACAATGCATGCGTCATTGGGCCAATGATTGACGCCTCTTGATGTGACGTCAAATTAGAAGGCAGTCATCTTATACAGAGTTATAAGAATACTTTTGCAATTCCTCTGTGAAACAGATTGGTGTCAATCATGAGTAGCCTAAACATGAAACATTTGGGTTAGAAGGCTAACATCAACTGAAAATTGGATGGCCGAATGGTTAGCACGCGCACGCTGTATCATACGGTCTGTCATTGAGTCAACTGGCGGGGTTTCGATTCCCCGGTTGTACGTGACAAGGAGTAGGGTTGCCTGTTCAACCTCGTGGGTTTTCTCTGGGTCCCCCGGTTTCCTCCCACTGCTAAAGACCCCTACACGCAAGCGAATTATTGAAATAAAATTAAACCATATGTTAGTCCCGAAATGACCTAGTTTGTGTTGAGTGGACGTTAAACCCCATTCCTCTCTCTCTCTCTCCAACTGAAAATGATTCTTAAATATGATTCTATCTTGACCAATCATCATAGCTGAGATATTTGATTATGTCTTAATGCTCTCGGACCACGTCTGTTTTCTTAAAGATGCATTAGTTAAGAGTTTAATAAAGAGTTGGGCATTCTTGCTATAATAATTCAAAAATAGACGATAAAGAAAAAAATATTGAAAATTTCAGTCAAATTACTTTATTCTGAACGGAGTTGTCACTGTTGGAAGTTTGGACTAGAAATAGGCATCCACTGTGTCGGCGCCATCTACGAGAATTGCCGATCGTTTGATTGACAGGCGATAACTCCACCCACATATTCTCGATAATCAAGTAACATTCTCAATGGCAATGGTACCCTCACTTCGCAGGCCTCTCCTCACCAGTTTTCGGTAGTGACGTCACTGGCTAACGGTAACCGTTAGCTTAGTCAGCCATTTATTGATTTAATTTTAAATGGACGACTGTTTAACTCCAAGCTGTATCCAAGCCATCCGAGGGTCTATGAGTTGATTTTGAGCTTGTCATGTAAATAAAAGACTAATTAATAATTTCTATAACATCTGAAGCCTAAATAAAGACTTAAAATACGCAGATTTAGCTCTTCCATAATCTATGTTTAACTGTGGCAAGACTCAGTATCGTGTAATTCAATTGCAGTTATGAGGATAGCCTGAAGTTCATAATATTTAACCGATTTCCTACCGGGACCTCATTTGACCCCATTCTGGCCAGTTCCTTTTAAAATGGATTAAGAACCCTGCCCTGAACTGACTCAATATAATTTCATGGTCACTCGATTGCAGAATGTTCTGGACAAAATAGTCTGGCATCCCCCGGCCGAGAAAGTTCATCAGGATTTTCCCACGTGGTTTCCCCTTGTCAGTGGTGCATAACGGAGGGCCTGACAAGGACAGCTGTCTAGTCCTGCGGATGATATGAAAAACCGAGGTCCCGTGTATACATTGGAATGCACGTAAAAGATCCCTTGGCAGTTGGAATTCGATATAAGAGTAGGCGATAGTGCCGCTGCCCGGGCAAAATTTCCCTCATAGCACACTGTATGGTGTATGCCCATCTTCATTAGCCGAGTTCGGAGCAGAACAGTAGGCCGTTAAACCCCATATCATTTCATTTCATTTCATTTCTGGCATCTCCCAATTCAGTGGGATATTTGCGTGATATGCCCTTAGGCTGGCAGAAGCTTTCCTTTATTATCAACCATGCCCAATAATTGATTTAATCAAAACAATACTATATTGGGGTACTTAACTTCAAAAAATTATGTTTTGGGGCCTGTTTAAAAATCAATTTATTTAACTTTTAAAAAAAACCCCAAAAACGGGCTCTGCACACAATCATTAATGTAACAAAAGAAATGAAAATAACTTGTTATTGTAAAATGTTTTGCAGTATGAAAAAAAAATATTCCAGAGATTTAGTTGAAAGTTAAAAATGTCTTTATTGTGGTCTCATCCCCGATATTCCCTGTCACATTAAACAATAATATACAGAATACAACATATTTATATCTCAAATAGTTCATTATACTAATGATATTGTGACTATGTCTGCTGAGCAGTATTTAAAAAATACACATACATAGGATGATAAAATGACAGCTCACCAGGCCCAGAATTAAATTAAGAATTTACTCAACTTTCAATCACTGTTTATGAGAAATATCTTTGATCCAGAAACACAAACAATTGCACACAGTTTCTTATTGATGTATTTGATACATTAAAACAAGAATAGTTTTATAAAGGACTATATTTTAGTCAAAATAAGACGAACAATTTTGAGTAAATTCTTAACTTAAGTCTGAGAATGCTTTGTGAACTCAGGACTAGGTAAATTAATGATGTTGAATGGAATTTTGGGGTAAAGAGAATTGTTAAAACTTTAAACAATTTTCATTACCCTAATATCTTATAAGGCTTTTGATAGGTCAGACGCTTAGATTATTTTAAATTATTTGGAGTGAAATATTGTGCAGAAGAAAATAATGAAATTATACATAGAACATAGAAAGCTTATTATTTTAATAAGGAATTCTAAAAACAATTTGTGAATTGAAGAAATTGATAACATTATTTTCCAGTCTAGTAAGACCATAACCATTATCTCATGGATTATTACATATAGAAAATGACATTATTTTTAATCTAGTAAAAGCAAAATCTGATTAAAATACAGATCTATATTTTATTTCATTTTTTTTATTCTTTCGATGGTCTCCACTACATGAAGATCTAATCAGTTGTAGTGGAAGGTCATGTCAGGGGTCAAATGAGCGGCTTTTGATCCTTTGACGTCAGAAATTTGATTACCCAATCAGCGTTGATGTTTCTAGTGGGTTACCCACAGTTCCAAGCACCTCACGCCAAAAACTAGCCATAACAGACCGTTTCACATCATCCAGAATGCAAGTTATATAACAACTCTTCCAGATCCTAGTTTAGTAAAGAAAAGTAAAACAAGACAGGATCTGAGTTTTAATCAAATTGGTAAAAGCAAACCCGTTGTCTCGTTACATGAATAGAAAATGATGAAATAATAACATTATATTCCACTCTAATAAAAATCAAAACAGTTGTCTCACGATTAGATGTAGACAATATTTGATTACAGATTCATATAGAGTACAACTGGACAATGATCACTACCCATGACATGTTTTCTAATAACACTATCACACAGATCTTTGGTTAATCTTTCTGATACAACAAAATAATCTAATCTCCTGAAATAGACAAAAAATTTCATAGTTAGACTTTATTTACAAACAAACTGTTCAATTGTTAGAGAGAGAGAGAGAGAGAGAGTTGAACAGTCCACAAAAAACTAGGTCAATTTTGGATTAACATATGGTTCAATTTTATTTCAATCAATCGCTGAGGGTGTGGGTCTTTAGGAGTGGGAGGAAACCAGAGGGGCAAGAGAAAACCAACGAGGCTGGACAGGCAACCATATTCCTTGTCACGTACAACCGGGGAATCGAAACAACGCCAGTTGACCTAATGACAGACCTTATGATACAGCGCACTAGCACTAACCATTTGGCCATGAACTCCCCCCCACCACCTTAATGCTAGATACAGCCTTCTATTGAAGGTGTACACCAATATGAACTACCGTTTTAATGACAGCACAAATTTACCAAAAGTCACCTAATATATGATCCACGGAATGTTTTCTTATCCTATGTATGTGAACTACCGTTTTAATGACAGCACAAATTTACCAAAAGTCGCCTAATATATGATCCACGGAATGTTTTCTTATCCTATGTATGTGGATATATGGGTTCTAACTTACCAATCTGATTAAAATACAGATCTATATTTCGTTTCGTTTTTTTATACTTTCGATGGTCTACACTAGTGTTGTGAAGACAAGTAAAACGAAATTTTGAACTATTAGAAACAAAGCGAAATAGGATCTGTTTTTTAATCAAATTTTGCAATGCTCTTGTCTTCAGGTCAGGGCTGTACACGTTTTTGCCATCTACAATTATCAGTAACACTATTAATCTCCTGGACAGCCTGGACAGACGACTCCTTGTCATGTACAAGCGGGGAATCAAAACCACACCACTTGACTCAATGACAGACCTTATGATGCAACGCTCACACGTTTTAACCATTCGGTCACACAACCCCCTTCTGTGAAAACAGGGGCAAACAAACATTTAATAATGCTATGTGCAGTCAACAGCTACACACCCCTGTGGATTTCAGATTTATTTTCAATGGAAACAGTACACGCTGACAGCAAAATATTAAAACATTTAGTGACTTACCATCCACAGTCTTTAGCTCTATTATTCATAAAATAAGCCCAGAATGTATAGGCTGCCTCTTTATCTGGATATAACTTTCTATACGTATCAACAAATCCTTCATTTAATAGATTAGTAAAACCTTCTCTTTCTTGTGGTGTAAAACCTGCATTCTTCTTGTTAGTTTTAGGATTCTTCAGATCTGAAATAAACCATTCAAAATTAACATTCTTTAGTCAGACGTCCACCAGTTATTTGATTGTACATAGTGTGGATCACCTGTACTTACTAATCCAGGTATAACAACATATATTTGTCTCAACATTGTCAATATATAAACTACATAGACCCGAGAACAGAGAGATAACTTATGTAAGATTTAAATAAAGAGCTGGTCGTTCTCGGTATAATATTTCAAAAATAGATAATGCAAAATGAATATATTGAAAATTTGATTCAAATTACTTTATTTTGAGCAAAGTTAACAATGGTTGTAGTTTTTGACAAGATGTGTGCATTGATCATAACCAAAGAACTGGTCATTTGAGTCTCTTAGTCTCACATCTCCATTTTTAAATTAAACCATTAAATGGCTAAACCATGAGATAAAGCGGATGGCATCGAAAGTTGATCATGGTCTTGTCATGTTAATAAATGTCTAATTAATAATTTATATAACATTTCAGGCCTAAAGAAAGACCTGCAATCAGCAGATGTAGCTCTTGCATAATGTATGTTTAACAAAACGTGTTTGAAAGTAAAAATTACGTTCAGAACTCTGTTTCTTCTATATCATGTTCACAAGATTTCATGAATTTGAAATTAAACAAGCTGATCAATGCAAAAATTATTGTGTGCATTTTACTGTAGCCTACATAAAAATCAAAGTAACAGAAAAAACTATACATCTATTTTACATGACATTACCTATATCAAGATGAGCCACATTTAGATCACCACACATTATAACCGGTTTCTTTGCATCTAAATCTTTTAGATATTTAATGAAATCTACATCCCATTCTTTTGTTCTGTAGTTTAATCTAGGTAATCCTCTACCACTGTTAGGTACATCTACAAATACAAATACATTTCTTTTATTATATAATTTTCAATATATTTAAAGCCAGCATAATTAAAATTATACAAATATGTAATTCTGTTTTATTGCGTGGTTATTTACTTTACTTTTGTCAAAAGACAAGTTCGGTAATGCACAGAGACTGTGATTGGTCGACTCCATAAATAACTTACCAATCAAAACCTGCAATACAGAAAATTTCTGTGAAATTCTTTGATTATCGAGACTTATGGGCTGTCGAATAGAAGTCAAAGGTATTATTATGCTGTCATTGCAGAGCAAGAACTCATTTTTCTTAAATGTTTTTTTATGTAAGGGGGGTGGGGGGGTGTTTGGCTGTATGGTTAGTGTGTGTGCACTGCATTATAAGGTCTGTCAATGAGTGAACTGGTATGACTTTGATTCCCCTGTTGTACATGACACACCTTGTGTGTTTTAGTTTCCTACCAGTGCTAAAGACCCCTATGCGCAAGCGAATTATTGAAATAAAATTGAACCATATGTTTGTCCCGAAATGACCTAGTTTGTTTCGAGTGGATGTTAAACCCCATCCCTCTCTCTCTCCCTGGCATAGTAAAGGCGTAGCTGACTTTTTGATCAATTAATCTTCAGCTAGACCTACATTGATTATGCCAGGGACTGATTCTATATGTGGTTGAGATGATTATTTAAACATATGAATCATTTACACATGAATCATTTAAACCCAAATAAAATACGTACATGCAGTAACAACATAATACTTCTCAAATTCAGCTGTAATAACTCTTCCTTCATTATCGTGCTTTGAAACATCTAAAATAGAAGCATACAGTATAAATAACATTCAATTCCTTGGCATCAGATGTACAATTATTAATAAACAAAGTAATAAAAAATATGATCAGTTTTTTAAAGATTTAACAGATCACATTAATTAGGAAGTTGGATATATGTATTCTGATATAATAAATGATTATTTACTTTTAATTGATATCAAAATACAATTCCAAAAATGTGTCTTCTGATATAGTAAACCATCAATTACTTTTAATTAATATCAAAATTCAATTCCAAAAATATCAGTTGAATATTTTTTTCAGCACTCGTAATAAACACTTATAATATTTTTTGAAACGTCACAGTGAAATAAACCATAGTAATTGTTATCCATAAACAGTGTGTTATTTGATAACTATTACATACCTATACCATAGTAATTGTTATCCATAAATAGTGTGTTATTTGATAACTACTACATACCTATAGCATAGTAATTGTTATCCATAAATAGTGTGTTATTTGATAACTACTACATACCTATAGCATAGTAATTGTTATCCATAAACAGTGTGTTATTTGATAACTACTACATACCTATACCATAGTAATTGTTATCCATAAATAGTGTGTTATTTGATAACTACTACATACCAACACCATAGGTACATGTAACAATTAAAGGTTTTGAGTATAATTAATACATACCTATACCATAGGTACATGTAACATTTATAGGTTTTGAGTATAATCAATACATACCTATACCATAGGTAACATTTATAGGTTTTGAGTATAATTAATACATACCTATACCATAGGTAACATTAATAGGTTTTGAGTATAATTAATACATACCTATACCATAGGTACATGTAACATTTATAGGTTTTGAGTATAATCAATACATACCTATACCATAGGTAACATTTATAGGTTTTGTTTTTGTATACATCCCAACACCTGAATATCCTTCTTTATCCCCTGATAACCAGTGAGCCGTATAGCCTTCTATTTTACAATCAGCTGGTATTTTAGATGTATCACATTTTGTTTCTTGTAAACACATAACATCTGGGGCCTCTGCTTTAATATAACTTGTTCCATCTTTCTACAAAATTGACAAATTTACACAATGATATTTAAACCTAATATTTTGGCATCACTGCTACTTTTCTTTATTAGGGATTGAATTTATGTTCTTTAATTGTTAAAGATGCATTATGTAAGAGTTAAATCTCTCCATTGCAGGGCCCTTATTCACGAAAAATTAAACTAAGATACAATCGAAATTTTAAGAAATACTGCAATTCGATTGGCTGACCAGTAAAATCAATTTGCATATATCCAATTTGCATAATGGCCAGCCAATCGAATTGCAGTATTTCTTAAAATTTCGATTGTATCTTAGTTTAAGTTTTCGTGAATAAGGGCCCTGGTCTCTCTTTTGGCTTCAAATGTATAAATTATTATTTAGACATCAATTCACTTGACAAGTCTGTAACTTCAAACAACAATAACTTAGCTCAGAATAGAGTAATTTAAATGAAATTTTCAATATATTCAGTTTTCATTATCTATTTTATCTAAACATATGTCTACAGCCGAAAATGGGTCATTTCGAGACTAACATATGGTACAATTCCAAGAATTCGCTTGCATGCTGGGGTCTTTAGCAGGAGGTAATCCGAGGACCTGGAGAAAATCCACAAGGTTAGACAGGTGACTCTACTTGTTGTCCCATACAAGCTGGGAATCGAAACCTCGCCACAGACATTATTATTTTAAGAGCACGAGTTGGATCACTGCGGCCCAAATGTTATAAATTATTCTCCAACCTCGTGGGTTTTCTCCGGGTCCTCCAGTTTCCTCCCACTGCTAAAGACCCCTATGCGCAAGCGAATTATTGAAATAAAATTAAACCATATGTTAGTCCCGAGTTGTGTCGAGTGGACGTTAAACCCCATTTCTCTCTGTATAAATTATTAATTAGACATTTATTAACACAACAAGAATTAACTCTCGATGCCATCGGATGACTCCGATTTTTTAAGCATATTACGAGTAGAACGGTTAGGTCATTTAATGATATAACTTAAAAATGGAGAAGCAAGGCTAAGCATCGAACAACCAGCAGTGGTTAGGATAATAATCCATCAATGCATTGCATACATCTCGTCAAATCTACTAACATTGATAACTTCGCTCAGAATAATGCAATACGAATAAAATTTCCAATATATTCATTTTGCATTATCTACTTTGAACTATTATAGCAAGAACGACCAGTTCTTTATCTAAACCTTACATAATAACTTATTTGTAAGAAAGCAGGCAGCCATTTGTCACAGAACACTGCAATTTAACAGACAGAAAGTACAGTAATTATAACCTTTAGGCCAATTACGGCTATATTATTTTGGAGAATAAAACTACTTAATTTTGTGTTAAAAGCCCTTAAAATCCTAAGGGCCGAGTGACTAACTCAATATTTGTGATACGTTTTCAAACAACTTAAACCCGCCAGTCTTCATCTGGAAATGGAGAACGGTGCCCCAAGCTGTATTATACGGTGTCTGGATAAAACCAGACTTTTATCTTATACAAATGTGTAGGTTAAATTTACCTTTTGTTATCAAGTACACCACGTGGGTCATCCACTGTATAGACCTCTTAAAGGAACGGCAATGGATTATCAAGTTACCCAACGAAAAAACTGACCGAAATATTAAAGGGATTACGTGTCCGGATAAGCGGTTTTAACGTTCATATCCATATGACTCAATATTTTGAGCTGAAATTTTGAGACAAGGTAAATACACTATTCGTCCATTCCTCTATATTTTGGAGTTTAAATTACATCTGTACACAGACTTTTATTTCTGGTCAGGATGGTCCATTTAAGAAATGTTAAAACTAAATGTGAATACGTACTGACAACCATGCTCGGATACCATTTATATTCCATGATGCTATCTTTACATTCCATGTTCTACCATCTTCTGTTTTAGAATCAGATGTAAAATCCATTCCAGACACATCAACTGATGGTACCTTCTTCAATGCTGGTGTATCTCCATCACCATTTTCTTCTTCCTTTTCCTTCTTGCCTTTAGGGGTTTTGGCAGGCTTAGCATCCTCCTATAATACAAATAAATTATTTCAACTACCAAATTTTTTCTGCAAAATGGAAGTTGATGATGAATGTAGAAGGTTTTGCATGGTATCCTGTGCAGCAATGGAGCATTTATAGCCCATTCCATAGAGTTTTGCCTACTCCTTGATGTCATAATTGGTTTATAACAAAAATCGTATTGCACTATATTTTTTCAAACCATAATTATTTTCATAAAAGATAATCTTTTATCAATGATTGACAGAAAATGATCACAATTTGTATCATATCGTGACTGCAGTGGCAATAGCCTGCACTATAAATCTACCTTTGACATTTTTGTTATGTTTTCAAATTAATTGTTTAAAAAATAATCAATGAAGTATGGTACATATTATTAGCTTGGATGAAGCAATAAACTTTAGACATTATCCAAAAAATGTTTAAAATGAAAGAAAATATACTGTTCAAAGTTAGAACGCATTGATTTATCCGACCGTCACATAACATTGAAAAGAATGAAATAAATTCAAGAGTGGCATGGTAAAGTAAAGGGAGGCTACTCCAGCACCAGAACTGGGATGGAGGCAGACCACCATTAATTTCCTCATGTTAAAGATACACTCGGCAAACCTTAGCAGACTTCAGTACCCTACATCTAGCCCCAACTGTATGACGAAGTCCGCCATTGGAACTACTTTCAAGTTCCCGGATTACTAAAGGCGTTGCCCATGACAACGCATTTGAAGAATGTTTTATCATACAAAGCTTTCAAAGTCTGAAGATGTTTTTCTTTCTAGTTTATCTACACGCTTTGCGAACAACACAATTTTTAGAACGTCTTTTTAAAAGTGGCAAGTTTTGCAAAAACTAAACTGGTAGCCGCATCACTATTGTGTAGGCGTAGGTACATATCACTTACCATCATACAGCCAAGGCTAGATGTAAAGTACCGGAATCTGCCGAGGTTTGATGAGTAAAAAATACATTGTCCCAAAAGTATTTATTAGGTGGTTATTTCCAACAAAAGTATGGCAAATTTGGTATATATGGAAAGTATAGACGCCCAATCTTACTAGGAAAATAGTGGATTGACCAAAAAAAAACCATGGGGCAAGCACTGGGCAAAAATGTCAGGGTATCACTAACTGGCAACCTGACAGCTTACTGTCTGCCAGCTTCATGTAAGGAACGGTTGTTATTTCTTAATCTAATGGTTAGGCAGTTTTGGGAACATTTAGGGCTGTAAGCACATAACAGACTCTTCAATTAAACGGCAGAAAAAGAAGTTAGCAGAAAATAATTCAAGAATTTATATAACCCTCATTATGTATGGTAAATGGACAGTAAGTAATGACAAATAACTTCTGAAAGTCAAGTTAGGTGACAAACATGGTGTCTAGAAAAAAATTTTTTAATAGATTGGGGTATCTCCTTGGGAATACAAAGTTTTGAGATAGATTTAAAGCAGATTTTCGATAGATTACTTAGTTTGACTATGTTTTTAGTCCATGTATATCATCAAGTCACACAGTTCATCCGCGGGAAGGTATCTTTAAAGTAGCTAAGTCTCTAACTCAATATCATCCGAAGTCTTCGACATTGAAAACGCAACTTATTTGTCAATTTAAATCAACATTCGTGTTGTGGTCTTACCGGGAAAAGATGGACTTATGATATCCAATATTTAGAGCGGAAATTGCAAATTTTTAAGTTATATTTTTAAAATTTATTAAAATAAAGCCTTAAAATAGATGTTATCCATAAACAGTCCTACCTTGTTAAAGAATAATCCTATTAATCCTATAATTCGCTATTGCCAGCTGAGAAATTGGCAAAAATATCATTTTTAACTTCAAATTTCAACTTTGGAAAATGGCTGCCCCATGTTGTCAATAGCAAAACAGGGGAGGTAATTGTGTTGTTATTTCCTGTGCCATAGATTCTTAAGGGTGGGAAATAATGCCCATGATCGTATAATAGTGATTTGATAACCTATTGAGCAAAAGACATAGAAATAATTATGTTTTGACTTTCTTAGAAAATTTGAAATTCTCGCTTTAAGTAAACATTTTACCATTGGTACATGAATCGTGTACCACAATGCGTTTCAGCTCCATTTGTAACACGGGACTCGAAAACCGAGGCTAGACATATTCCACAAGTCATGTCAAACGGTGACAGCATATTCTTATCTGGAGAGCATGGGCAATAAATACTATCGGTGTAGACTGAAATAACCAGATGCCAGAGATTGCCATTCGATTGAGACTTCTGGCATATTTTGCCAAACATAACTGATTTGAAATTAGGGTAAAAACGGAAACGATTGAATGTAAATCAGTTTATATACATTCATATTACATTATTCTATGCGTTGCGACCCGTTTGTGTTAATTGCTAGATCCCAAATATTAGCGATTTAGCTCCTTTAAGTGTATAGTAGAATAGACAAATATAATAATATATGGTTAACAAAACACTTACTGCTGGTTCTTTTTTCTGTCTTTTTCTGGCTGGTTTTGCCTAAAATATAAAGTTGACACACATCCACAAACGGTCAAATTGGTTTTATATTTTTTTGAGATATAAAACATTACTTAAAGGGACAATAACACTCTTGCTGGCTTGACAGCTCCAGAAAATAAATATTAGCCTTATTCTAAGTACTAGATGTTTAAGTGTCCTACCTGTTGTGTAAACTATCCATTACATCCTATTTTACTTGTCCAGAGGGTTCGAAAATATTTTTAAATCCAAGTCACATTTGAAAGGGTTTATGTTAGGCTTTTCAAATCATTTAGTTGAATATTTCCAATTTTTTAAATTAGGTGTGTTAGGATGAAATTTGGATCACCAATTAATTGGAATATTGTAAAATAGTACAATTTGTTGACCAGAATAAAGATTGGGACATATTAATGAGTTACAACAAGAGTGGTATTGGGCCTTTAAAGGAGTGAAAATAACACTACGTACATTACATGTATACTCCAAACTTGTACCAGCGATACCAAACAGTGTATTCTAATTTGTTTATTTATCTAACAAGGGGGGTGGGGGGTGGAAGGCTGAATGGTTAGCAAGTGTGTGCTGTATTATAAGGCCTGTCATTGAGTCAACTGGCCTGGTTTCGAATCCCTGGTTGTACGTGACAAGGAGTAGGGTCGCCTTTCCAACCTCGTGGGTTTTCTCCGGGTCCTCCGGTTTCCTCCCACTGCTCAAGACCCTACGACCAAGCGAATTATTGAAATAAAATTTAACCATATGTTAGTCCCGAAATGACCTAGTTAAACCCCATTTTTCTCTCTCTCTCTATTATTTATCTAACCAAAGAAATTGGATTGATTATTGAAATTTTAAACCATGATTTTAAGACTAAGAAGAAATATGTCAACATAATTCAAGACATTGCATTGCTATTGTTTGCTCATTGTGTAGTTTCTTTTTTCCCTTATAAATACAGAAATATAAATAGGCTACCACACATACCTCAGCTACATCTTCATTGTCTTCATCCTTCACAACCTTAAATAAAGAATTCCGTTTTGAGATAATGGGAGCTTAACTTTTTTCCTACAGTTTTATTTAATACCCGTACAAAAAAATCATGTCGTGCACTGACTGACTTCACTGTAAGTTTTGTACAATTTGTGATACCTGGAAGTCAAATTCATATTTTATATCAAAAATTATTTTACTATCTTTTTGTAGGTCTGTCTACATTATTTAGACCTGTATTATTTATTAAAATTATTTTGAGATTCCTTTAATATAAGATGACTGCTGCAATTCAAACTCTTACAACAGATTTTGAAATGAAATGAAATGAGGTTTAACGGCTTACTGTTCTCCTTCGAACAGGGCTAATGAAGACATACAGTGTACTATGAGGGAAATTTTGCCCGGACAGCGCCACTACAGCCTACTCTTATATCGAATTTCAACTGCCAAGGGATGTTTTACGTGCACGCCAATGTATACACGGGACCTTGGTTTTTCGTCACATCCAAACAACTAGACAGCTGTCCTTGTCAGGCCAAGGGGGAACCACGCCGGAAAATCTGGATGAACTTTCTCAGCCAATGCAGGGATCACAACGGATTTTAAAAACCAAATCATCATCAGAAACAAAGGTTATCTGAGATGTGACAAATCTGTTCACATTTCTCGTGGTAATGTTAGACTGTATAGAACACAGCGTTTTCCTGTATACTGGTGGTAATTTAAATGTTATTCTATGCTCTGGGCCCTGTTTCTCGAAATTTTAACTAAAGATGAAATCCAATTTTAGTAGATACCGTACTTCAATTTTGATTGGCTATAAGCACTAAAATCAATCTAATATTATCCAATCAAATTACTAAAATTTGGATTTTATCTTAGTTAAAATTTCGTGAAACAGGCCCCTGGGCCCTTATTCCTGAAAACTTAAACTAAGATACAATCGAAATTTTAGGAAATACTGCAATTCGATTGGCTGACCAGTAAAATCAATTTGCATATATCCAATTTACATATTGGTCAGTCAATCGAATTGCAGTATTTCTTAAAATTTCGATTGTATCTAGAGTTTAAGTTTTCGTGAATAAGGGCCCCGATCTACTTCATTAAAGATAGGATACTAAACCATGAATATAAACCATATTTTGCTGACAAATAGCTAATAGTTATTAGTAATCAAATCGTGACTGAAACCAAAAAAAGCACCAAATTCATACAAAATAATTTTGAAGCATACTCGAGCGTAACATGGGAGATATATTTGCCACATTACAAAATTTCAGGATTAACAATGTACTAATTTCCATTTATGGCCGCAATTATATTCCATACACCGCATCAAAAAACAACATAACGGTAAAAGTAATCGTTACCGCTTTCTTTGTTCTTTTGGGCATATTTAGTGTAGAATTTATGTATCTGCTGGCGAACAAAGATCGCTGTCTGATACACTGTCTCAACGTATTAAACCCTACACCAACAACTGCAGTCAAAGCCACTTTGATTATTTTCTGTAAAAGGGCTTTGTTCGGCTTTGCCGCGTCGTTTCGATTTACAACAATCGGGGCCTCTCAGTAATTTCCACCGGAAACTATGAGCCTCGACGTGACCTCGACAAATCTAGTCTCGGTCATCCAAATTCTCATCTCATAGCCGTTAACTTAATATTCATGGGGTCTCTACTGGGTATTTAAGGTTGGTGTCCCCTAATATTTCAACACTATTTAATAGAACTGATTAAATATATTCCAACTATAAATTTAATATAAAGATCTTTTCTATGCCTGACCCGTAACAATGTTAAAGATCTAATTAAAGAATCGGGATGTAATAACATTAAGGAAACAGTATAGTTGAATTTTGGCTACCTGGTCTGCAGTCTATAAACCATGGTCATGAGAATTAACTAATATAAGGTAATGCGCAGAATTTTTCGAGCCTTTTTGCTTTTTCTAATCTTAGTGCAATTCCGGTATACTCTCACAATCTCATATAAAACAACGCTTCGCATCTTCACTTTAATTATCAGTGAGCTGAAAATCTTTCGTGAAGCTTAAATTTCATATTTCCAGCGTGATTTCCCCTTGTCAGTGGTGCAAGACGGAGTGCCTGACAAGGATAGCTGTCTAATTGTTCGGATGGTACAAAAAACCATGGTCTCGTGTACACATTATTGGCGCTTTTTTTAATGATCACTTGGCAGTTGGATTTCGATGTAAGAATAGACCGTATAGCACCGCAGCCTGGGCAAAATTTCCCTCATACATGTATATCACACTGTATGGCGTATGCCCGTTTTCATTAGCCCTGTCGGAACAGAACAATACGACCTAGCTTAAACCCCATTTCATTTCATTTCATTTGTTTAATTATGTTTCTGTAGTTTATTTGTTTAATATTGTTCAAGCTCGGGTTTTCAAAAACACACTTTTATGGATAACAATTACTATGGTTTATTTCACTGCGACGTTTCCAACAAGGTTTCACAAGTCGTTATCAAGCATATACAGAAATAGATAAAAAATAAGAAAGATGTGAATTCTCATTTTTTTTTTTATCTATTTGTGTATATGCTTGATAACAACTTGTGAAACCTTGTTGAAACGTTGCAGTGAAATAAACCATAGTAATTGTTATCCATAAAAGTGTGTTTTTGATTATGTTCCAATTACAAATGTACTAAATGCCATTCAAAGAATATAACCTCGGGTTTATCGGTTAATCAGCTTTAATTATCCCACTTTGATCGTTGCAATTTCTAATATTTTCCAAAAGGAGTTTTCTTTAAACGCACTAATGATCGATTGGTACTGCTATCTATGACAGACTTGTCGAGGAATGCAGGTTAACGCGCAGCTTACGGATTATCGTTACAAATTTCTAGGGACTTGTAAAAACAGTGCATGCCGTGTAAATATTTACTTTCGTTTTTGTGTAGGTCATTTTCAAATAAATTCAACAGCATATTATTCTTTTTAAAAAAAATATTACTTTTACGGGGAACGATGATAAAGAACCGTAAGTGCAACTAATGTGTTATCGTTACTTATTTTTAATACATATTACAGATATAAAGAAATAAAACATTCTTATCATAAACATTCAACATTTGAAAATCCACGATTCCACGTGCTGTTCTTGAATGCGAGCCGTAAATTTTACCGGCAATTTCCACTCCCCACCCCACTAAAAGAAATAATTAATCATGCCCGTACGCCTATACTGGTAGTGAAAAAAAAAACCGTTTCACACAACCATTTGGTTTATTTGTTACACGCAAAAATATAATTCCGGTAGTATTAGTTCCCTGGTTCTTTAAATGTCTGCTTCCACTAAGGTCATATCGCGGACAATAATTTCGGCGTACATCGTCCGTCCGTAAGTGTTTCTTTATTCTTGTATATACATATAATAAATATTTTCACTAATCTTGTTCACTTTTTTCCGCTAATCATTTTGTAAATTACGGCCAATATACTAAGTACCTTTATACATAAAATCTATATCGAATACACAGAATACATACACGCATATCCCGCCTTGTGCAATACATATCAAAGGAGAGAGAGAGAAATGGGGTTTAACGTCCACTCGACACAAACTAGGTCATTTCGGGACTAACATGGTTTTTTAAATTTTTTATTTCAATAATTCGCTTGCGCATATGGGTCTTTAGCAGTGGGAGGTAACCGGAGGCCCCGGTGAAAACCCACGAGGTTGGACAGGCGACCCTACTCCTTGCCACGTACAACCGGGGATTCGAAACCACGCCAGTCGACTCAATGACAGACTTTATGATACAGCGCGCGCACGTTAACCATTCAGCCATCCAACCCCCACATATCAAAGGTGTTAACGAATAAATTAATATACATCAATGTCTAAGATGTGCAACAAACATTTATTGCTCAAGTCTCGATGAATAAACATATAATGCATGGGTTATTTGTATATTGACGACAAGTGTCAATTTATTGGGGAAATTTACCGTTTTAATCTTATGTGTTATTGAAAGTCGGGTTATATTGGACAAGTGGTGGACGTATAGCAACATAGCTACATGTATATTAACGTTTGTTTTCTTCAGCAGCACGTTTACCGAAATTCGTTCGTGACATCTGGATTGACTGTAACCAACATGAAATGGAACGGGGTGTAACGTCCTATATTTTTCTGGCCCAATCGGGGTAATGGTGACGGGCATACGCCATGCTGTGTCATATGAGGGCAATTTTGTCTAGACAGCTGCGTTACCGCCCAGTTCCAACTGCCAGGGGTACATTTACAGACACCAAGGCCGTAGCCAGCTCAGACTAACCAGGGAGGGGGAAGGGGAGTGTTCTCAGGGGTGTTGTAAACTTGACGGACAATGTATATCTATTGTTGTTATGGTCGGCAAGTTTTTCACGTGGGGGGGGGGGGGGTACGGGCCTGACAGGAACCCTTAGGCACACCAACGTGTATACTGGGCCACGTTTTTTTTTTATATCATCCGAATGTCAAGGAACTTTCTCCACCAACACCGGAAATTACCAGATAAATAAAACGAGTCCATAATGGTTTCAAAGGAAAATAGTTCTTCTAGAAGAAATTTAAGTTCTCGCTATATGGATATGCAGGTGATGTGTACAAATTTATAATAATTTCGTTTTCGCAGACTCCTATTCTCCCACAATCACATTCCGCATACGGATAGTCTCCTTATGTTATTTTTTTTCCTTTTCGGCACCGCCATTGTGACATATTCCTGAAAAATTGTGGGAGAAGTTGGATGAAGACAACGTGATATAAAATAATTGCAACGTGACTAGTTTGGGCGGAAAAATAGTGAGCTACATTTCGTGAAGCCTTTTGTTGACTCCGATGGCTCCAATTCTGAGGAAGAAAGAAGGGCAGTTGTCCACCACTTACCCCACCTATGTTGAACGTTAAGTGAACACAGGTCGAAGCTCGTGTAAGATAATAGCTGTTAGAAATAACAGTTTCGGCAGATTTTAAAAATATTTCAAGAAAGAATTTGGTTTTTGGAGATAAAATTTATTCATTTTGTAGCACTACCCGTTGGTCGAATATGGAAATCACCGACCGTATTATGGTGATCTTGACAAACAAATTAGCAAAACAAATTTCTAAAACCAGTACGTTTGCTATTTAAGCTTTAAACCACAATGAAATCAACATTAAAAAAGTAATTTATTCTCCTAGATTATTTTTAAGACGATACTTTAAAGTAGCTAAGTCTCTAACTCAATATCATCCAAAGTCTTTGATATTGAAAACACGAATTTTTTGTCAATTTAAATCAACATTAATGTTGTGATCTTACCGGGAAAAGATGGGCTTCTGATATCCAATATTTAAGACAAAATAAACATTTTACCATTGGTACACGAATCGTGTACGATAATGCGTTTCGGGGGCATTTATAACAAGGGGCTCGAAGAACGAGGCTAGACATTTTCCACAAGTCATGTAAAACGGTGACATCATATTCTTATCTGGAGAGCATGAATAATATCGGTATAGACTGGAATAAACCAGACGCTAGAGATTGCCATTCGATTGAGACTTCTGGCGTATTTCGCCGAACATAACTGATTTGAAATTAGAGTAAAAACGGAAATGATTGAATGTAAATCAGTTTTTATACATTCATATTACATTATTATATGCGCTGCGACCCATAATTTGTGTCAATATCTTGGTCTCAAATATAAGCGATTTAGCTCCCTTAAGTTGTTAATTACACTGTTTATTGTGTATAAACAACATTTTAATCAAGCAGATAGAATAAATTCGATAAGTGATTTTATTATTTATATTTACGCCTTTAAATGAAACCATAACCAATAATTAGCGCGTCATGCATGCCTTTAGCGCTGGGTGACTATAATAATATGTTGTCCCATAATTGTTTCCATACAAACGTAATCGCAGTGACATCAAAGTAAAAAGGACCACACTACACAAATGAATCATTTCGTTGTAAATTAATATTAATCATGTCCTGTAGACTATGACATAATATATCACAGTTGATTAAAATTTAATGGAATCGTTTATTACTGAATGAAATCGATATAGCCACTGGACTCTTTGTACAGGTGCGCGCGTATAAATATATATTGCACCCCGCCCAACAGGTAAACCGAAGTACAACCGGTGTATTGTCACTGTCTGGACTAAACCTAATCAATTGTTTTACATTCAAAGAGATTCCAGGTATGTTATATTTACATTAGATTACTGGTATACGTCTTTTTAGACCTACTACCACTTTTCTCTTAAAATAAAGGCTTTGATGAAAAGGTGGTCAACTAGTGAATATGAAAGTCAATTAAAATCAGGCAGGCCATTCCTTAAAATAGCTATGACACTATCTATATAAAACCCGGTTGTTGCAGACGATGGACCTTCAGTTGTGTGAACTAATTATCATAACTGTAAATTATAGAAGTAGATTTGAAGTTTGAAGAAGGGTTAGAGTCAGTTGTTTTTATTTGTAATCTGTTCCATGATATTATTGTATGATCGAGCTTACGAAGATTATCAATATTTAGGAATATAATAGATTATGATAACCGGATTTATGACGAGTTGTCTCCCCCACATCTTTTATAAAGAATTGATAGCAGATTTAATTCATACATGGAGGATATGACCTCACAACCCTGTCTTTGTAGTTTAATGGACATATATACAAATAAAAAGTTGAAGTTTAACTTTTACTTTAATTCCCAAAATTTGATTTGTTTTTTGACAAATAAAAACATATTTATTATTTCTTTTGAGTTTGAAAGGATTTATCAAAATTTTGCTTTAAATCCTTCCCAAAACATATTGTATTCAACAGGGAATACCCCTGCTATAAAAAGTCTATTAAAAAAAGTCATGTTTGTGTCATGTGACTTGGCTAACACGGTTCCTAGCAATGCGTGAAGCCGGAGGAGAATTCATTGCATATGCAAGACGATGTCTTTAATCGCTGTCCATTTATCATAAATATAGAAACCTAATTAAGTTCTTGGATTATCCACTGCCCACATATTTTTCCGTGGTTTTTATCTCAGAAACTGTTGTATGTTTAAGCTCACCATCAAGTTTATCAACATATATACATCAAGCGCTCACTAACACAGGGAGATCCGTCAATCTTCGTGTGCAACCTTTGACATCACTCAAGCAGACATCCTTAATCGTCAGGCTGTCGATTAGGGAAACCCTTACATTTTTGTCCTGTATGCGCTCCATGGGTGTTTTTCAGGGAATCCAGTATTTTTCTAGAAAAACTGGATGTTTCTACTTTCCATACATGTACCAAAATTGCCATACCCGATAAAGACTTTTGGGAAAGTAACTTTAAAGATGCATTATGTAAGATTTAGATAAAAAGCTGACAGTTATTGCTATAATAGTTTAATGCAAAATGAATATATTGGATATTTAATTCAAATTACTTTATTCTGATCAAAGTTATCACCATTTGAAGTTTTGACAAGATGTGGCATAGTTTGTTTATTATTGTAACAACAGTACTTGCTATTTGAGACTTAGACAATCGACTAAGACGCGTCTCGCCAGTTTTAAATTAAATCATAAAATGGCAACCATTTAAATCTCCTCTATCTGATGTTCGAGAGGAGTTTATTTTAGGCTTGTCATGTGAATAAATGTCTAAATAATAGTTCGAAGCCAAAATAGATATAATATTTTCAGACTTTCATTGCTACATTTTCATTGTATCATCCCAATGGTACATATATATATATATCTCATTATATTTTCATTTCATTGTATCATGTTATTCCAATATATTATTCTATGTAAAATATGTTTTTGTATACATGTACATGTATGTTGATGTACCAGTATGTGTATGTTTTGTATACTGTTCTTAATGGACGTAATATGCAAATAAAAAGTTGAAGTTAAAGTTTCATTCATTTGAGTCGGTGCTGACTCTGACATGTTCTGTTACATACATAATACATGTAGTGTGGTATTGATTTAAGTACATATACCATGTGTACATGTAAAATGATTGATAGGCCTTAACACTAGTATAGTAGAAATAATCAGTTGATCATATGTCACACCCAAGATATTCTCATTAACTTGTCTTTCAAATTATCTATAATGGTGATCATAATGATTTTTCATAAAATTAAAAACAGTATTTTTACTCTCTAAACTTCGTTGCTGTAGGGGGGGGGGGGGTTGGATGGCTGAATGGTTAAACCATATGTTAGTCCCGAAATGATCTAGTTTGTGTCAAGTGGACGTTAAACCCCATTTCTCTCTCTCTCTCTCTCTCTCTCTCTCTCTCTCTCTCTCTCTCTCTCTCTCGTTGCTGTAGGCCTACTTATATCAAGCTGATTAAAATATAGATCTATATTTTGTTTCATTTTTTTATACTTTCGATGGCCTCTACTACATGAAGATCTGATCGGTTGTAGTGGAAGGTTGTGTCAGGGATCATACAGGCGGCTTTTGACCCTATGGCGTTCGACGTTTGATTAACCAATCAGCGTTGATGTTTCTAGTGGCCTACATGTATACCCACAGTTCTGTGTATGTCACACCAAAAACTCACCATAATAGACCGTTTCATTCGCTAATCCCTCACATCATCCAGAACGTGGGTTATACAACAACTTTCCAGATCCTAGTGTAGTAAAGACAAGTAAAAGAAAATTTTGAACTAACAAAAAACGAAACGAAATAGGATCTGTGTTTTAATAAGATTGTACTCATATTATCTGAATTAAGACAAATTCTTATTCACATAGGAGTCTAATCCAACATCTCATACTCTGTCCCTGGCAGTTTTGATTGATAGGCCCAGTTTATTTTTAGTCATTTTGACTCTTCACTGACCATCAGCCATTAAAAGGGGGTCATGGTGGCTAAGTGGGTAAGACGCTGGCTCACTAGTCTGGATGTCGGTGTTCGATCCCTGCATTGGCCGAGAAAATTCACCCAGATTTTCCGGCATGGGTCCCCCTTATCAGTGATGCAGGATGGAGTGCCTGACAAGGACAGCTGTCTAGTCATTCAGATGAAACAAAAAAACGAGGTCCCATGTACACATTGGCATGCACATAAAAGATCTCTTGGCAGTTGGAATTTAACATAAGAGTAGGCTATAGTTCCACTGTCCGGGCAAAATTTCCCCTCATAGCACACTGTATCAGGTATATGCCTGTCTTCATTAGCCTAGTTCGGAGTAAAACAGTACGTAGGACGTTAAACCCCATTTCAGCCATTAAAAGGCTATTAAAGAGATATTTCCGAGTATGTAGGGACATCATGTACACATGTAACCTGGACAATTCTGCCTTTTGTTTAAGGACGATGGGATATTTTTCTTAGATAAAATGAATGTTTTGATTTTGGAACAATGGTTAAAGTACCATCCTTTATTTTCATCACATATTGACTGTTGTACGTGTACATATATATTTAAAAATTTGAGCAAGTAGAACTCTGTGAGGAGTGTTAAAATGCTACATTGTTTAAGAGAATAAAACCTAGTAAAACAATGTTTGTTGACATGTGGAGTCAATATTGAACCACACATTTGGTCAAATAGGAAGAGTGGGCTGTCGCTGAAGAAAACTGTGTAAATGGGACTGTACTTTGTCTATCAAAATACAACACATCATGGATGGTTACACCCAAGCCACCATTTTCTTCATGCAGTTGACATTTTTTTGTATTGTGCTGTTACTAATTACACCAACAATTATGTACCAGTTTGAATAATGTAAACATTGGAGAGTGTACATTTATTTATAATACAATAGAGAACATTTCTTTATATACCTAGATTTATCCCATTTTAAATATAGAACTATGACAGATCAAATAGGTAAAACGCATTAGTAGGATAGTGAAAACTATCAGTAGGATAGTGAAGACCATTGTTACTTCAAATCTTCTTTAGGTCTTTCTGTTCCCAGTTGAACATACATGGACAGAGCCTTCATAGTAGATAATAACATTTCTCTATATACATGTACATGTAGGTTTATCCCATTTTAAATATAGAAGTATGACTGATCAAATAGGTAAAACGCATTAGTAGGATAGTGAAAACCATCGTTATTTCAATTCTTCTTTAGGTCTTTCTGTTCCCAGTTGAACATAATTTAGCACCTTCACAGTAGATTTCCATTGATGATGGTCCAAAACTACCTTCTTCATTTTATCGTTTAATATGATGATGGATGAAAGGGCAAATGGTCTATACATGTATATATAGTGTCACATTGCTAATCAAAGAACAATATAAGGTTCAGGTGTTGGGATGACCTGTTAGTTTGAAGTGTCTGACTCTTTTCCCTTTTGATTATTATTGTGATGGTTGATGACCATAAAAGTTTCAGATTCATATTTTTCTAAACTTCAAACAGGTTTGAGTCAAAACTTTGGATATTTATCAAGAATTTTCCCATACAATGTATATACTCCAATCATAACATACCATATATTATACACTTGTTCAATATTCCAATTCTGAATAATGTATAATGTACAGTTCCAAAGATACATTATCTGCAGCCGTTTCTCTACAACTTACCAATCTGGAGTTGTGCACAAAACATAAGCATTTCTATATTTTTTTACTGACGCGTGATTTCAGTACCACAAGTCATAGAAAGATTTGAGATATATATATTTGGAAAGGTAATTAAAGAGGCATTATGGAGATTAGATAAAGAGTTGACATTTCTCCATGTAATAGTTACAAAATAGATAATGTAAATAGAATATGCTGAAATTTTTTTGACAAACTGTATTCCAATCCGCTAAATATTGCAGGCTAGCGATGGCAACAAGAGTTAATTATAGCCTGGATAAGTTAATTAAGCATACATTATGCAAGAGATAAATCTGCCTATTGCAGGTCTTTCTTTAGGCCTGAAATGTTTTCTAAATTATTAATTAGACATTAAAGATACATTATGGGAGATTAGATAAAGAGACAGACTCTCTTCTGGATGTCAGCCCGGAAAATAGCAATAAGAAGGGTTAGGCAAAGAGTCAACTATTTTGGACCCCTCTCACCCTTTCTCTAAAGTGATATTTAATAATTTTTATATGAAGAACTTTTTTATGATTACAGGTGGTCAGCCATGGATGGTGGAAAGAAAGTGTGGGTGCCTCATCCCACCGAGGGTTTTAAACTGGGGCGTATAGTAGACATTGGATCAGATTCTATTGCTATTGAACCATTTGATGCACCAGGAACAGTAAGCTAACTTTTATAAGATTTATATTTAAATATAACGTAGTGATCTGACATTCAAGGTAATGTTATTACCAGTAAAAATGTCTCCCTGCAGTTTGTGTAGGAGATTTTCCAGAAGATATAGTGTAATGAAATTGGATGCATTTAAATTATTTATGTTGAGAAAGAAAGCCATATAAGATTTATAGATTTGCTGATTAATGAAAGAGAGAGTTGATGAATCGCTATACAGCATCTGACTTCTTACAGCAATGAGACATGTTTTTAATTATTTACATACCGTATTGGATCTATATTATATATAGTTTTCAGTGGGGGCCCTAGCCCTCCGCCCCCCCCCCCCCCCTTACACACACACTAAATGACAGAATAAAAACCTCTTATCATTCTGTGTGTAGGAAATGTGTAAATTTTTTATTGTTTACATACAGTATTAGCTCTATATTATATTCATTTTTCAGTGGGGGCCCTAGCCCTCTCCACCCCACCCCCACCCCTCCACTAAATGACAGTATAAAAACACTTATCATTTTATGTCTAGGAAACGTGTAAATATGAGCTTATTTGGGGTGTAGGTGATGTAGCTGATGAAATGAATGTTATATTCGTGTCTAGATATGTACCATGGGTAATCACCATTGCCACACTAACTCTTTAAATTTTTCTCGGTAAAAGATGCAGAGCCTACCTCTCGCGTGAGGGGAGACACCTCCAAGCATGGATACTCATCACCATTGACACACCCACTCTTCAAAATTTTTTGGGTAGAGAATCCCGAACCCACCTCTCGAGTGAGTGGAGACATCTCCAACCAGGTTCCCTCTGAGCAAATATTCTGGGTAATCACCATGGACACACCGACTCGGTAGAAAATCCCGCGCCCATCTCTCGCTTGAGTGGAGACACCTTCAACCAGGACCCCTCTGAGAAAATATCCTGCGCCTACCACTGAAGATATAAATTATTTTTCTTGTTTTATTAACAGACAATAAATGCTATTTATGATCGTACATTCCCAGCCGAAGAATATGATAATAAAGATTGTGAAGATAACTGTATGTATATTTCTACTTGATTTAAAAAAAGGGTTCACACAACTTCCTCCTTTTATCAGCTGTTGAACCTTGATATAATTTGTCAACAGATACATGTAACAATATAATCATGCTGTTACATGTCAACAATATAAGTTTACAGTCTAACTTTTTTTTTTAAAACAATATTTTTATTTAGGTTGTCTGAATGGGATTATGGGCAACAGGCTTAGCCTATATAAAACCCCTCTCCCTAAATAATTTGTGTATATATATATATATATATATATATATATTATTAATGCAAAATGGGTGTATATACATGTACATAGTTATAGTGGCAAAAACATACATATTATAAGTATAATAAAATAGGTGAAAATGTACAGTATATATAGTAGTTAATAACTGATCTATATCTCTCTATATTCATTGATGTGGATGACATAGAGGTTTGTCTTTATCAGCAAATAACTCAAGTTGTCCCATCCACCTGATTGACTGCATCTCCATGGATACAGTTTCCCTCCCTTCTGATTGACTGCATCTCCATGGATACCATGCAGTTTATTCCAGATACTTAACAGCATTTATGACATAAATATACATATTTAACTGATATCAAATAAATGTTAATTTAAATACATAAATTTGTCTGTGAACTCCTCTTTATCACTATGGAGCCACAGTGGTTAAGTGAGTAAGATGCTGGCTCGCTAGTCTGGAGGTCGCGGGTTCACTCCCTGTGTTGGCTGAGAATGTTCATCGTGATTTTCTAGCGTGGTTTCCTCTTGTCAGTGGTGCAGGATGGAGGACCTGAAGGACAGCTGTCTAGTCATTAAGATGGTACGAAAAACAGGTCCTGTGTAAACATTGGCGTGTACATAAAAGATCCCTTGACAGTTGGAATTCAATATATATGTAAGCCGTAGCACGCTGTCCAGGCAAAATTCCCTCATAACACACTGCATGGGGTATCTCTGTCTTCATTAGCCCAATTGGAGCAGAAAAGTAGGACATTAAATCCCATTTCATTTCATTCCAAAATTGACCTTAAAGAATGTAGTTTGTTCCCATCAAGATAGCAGAAGCTCCTTTGTAACTCTTCAAATTATCTTGTTCTCCTTGCTGGCCCCCAGATCTATTCACTTGATTTGATATTTGTTGTTGATTTGTTGTAATGTCTATATAGTTTGTCTTGTCCGTAGATTGTCTTATCGGTCTTATTTTGTATGTAGTGCAGTCCTCCTGCACTTACTATGAAAGACTATTTTCATCTTTTTTTATGAGAATATTGAAAAAAAGACAAAAGTGTTGAAATATCTCCAGTTTAAAATGACATCCGTGAACTTGTAGGTGTAATAATGATATATTAATCAGTACATGACCATTAGTGTCATATTATTGTCAATGTATTAATTTAATTTACAGGTGGGCTGATGTATCTAAATGAAGCTACATTACTTAATAATGTTCGAATCAGATATATGAAAAATCAGATCTATGTAAGTGTAGCTTATTATTGGTTACCATGACAACTAAAAGTATTGATATATGAATGTATGTAAGCTGGTATATAAGTAACAGTAATTATATCTTTGTTATCTATTGTTCGAGGCTGTAATAAACAGATGATTTAGGCCATAAAAGTCCCCATATTTGTTGTAAATTACCTTTTATTGAAAAAAACCCCCCAAAAGCTTTTAAAACTGATCACAGTAGGGTACAGCTAAATAATTATTGTATTTATTATTCTCTATATTAAACTCTAATTAAATTTATGTCGTAATAAACTTTTTGCCAATGCCAAAAGCCATTATAAATTCGGATTGTGAAATAACAGAATGGCTATTTTCCATATTATGATTATCTTTGTATTAAACTTGAATTAAATTTATGTCACAGTAATCTTTTTGCCAAGATCATTTATAAATTCGGATTGTCAAATACCAAAATGACTATTTTCCATATTATGAATATCTCTGTATTAAGGTTTCCTCCCACTGCTAAAGACCCCTACGCGCAAGCAAATTATGGAAATAAAATTGAACCATATGTTAATTTGTGTCGACTGGATGTTAAACCATCTCTCTCTCTCTCTCTCTCTCTCTCTCTTTCTCTCTCTCTGTATTAAACTCTAATTAAATTTATAAATTCGGATTGTGAAATAACAAAATGGCTATTTTCCATATTATGAATATCTCTACATTAAACTCTAATTAAATTTATGTCAAAATAAACATTTTGCAAAATACTTTATAAATTCGGATTGTGAAATGAAATAACAAAATGGCTATTTTCCTTATTATGAATATCTTTTGTCCTTGCAGACATATACAGCAAACATCCTCATAGCTTTGAATCCCTACTATGAAATGCCGGACTTATATTCATCAAACGCAATTAAAAAATATCAAGGAAAATCTCTTGGCACACTGCCACCTCATGTCTTTGCTATTGGTAAGTTGTTTTGTATGAAAATGAATATTTTAACATAATATGCAATTGAAAGATAGATGGGATTAACATTTATAGACTGTACAGGAAAACTGCTTGAAAAAATTCCAATTGAATAAATGTGCATTAGAGATTAATATATGGTAGTTACTTAGCGACGTTTTGACTGGGCTTCTCTAGTCATTATCACGCAATGATAAAATATGAAAATATAACATGTAATTAAAAGGTAACTCTGGTTGGTCAGCATTAACTAAGTATTGTTGTGTACATATATATATTGTCTTGTCATATTTTCATTTTTTATCATAGCTTGATAATGACTAGAGAAGCCTAGTCGAAATGTCGATAAGTTATAAGCAGTAATGGTATTCCATATAATTGTGACCTGTATATTCCAGTTCAATTACTAAATGCCATTGAAACAATTTAATATATGGTAGATTGGTAAGAACCATGACAAGCCTGGAAATAAGGCACCTGTCACAGACAATGTCAGGCACAGATTCAGTCTTTGTCAGGCACATACTCTCTGGTGCCTGTCATTTTGTCCGGCACTGATTTGTCTTTTTTTTGATGTTATTAATACATGTCCGGCACATGTCAGGTACTCTTTCATTTGTTGATATTTTGTCAGGAACATCTAAAACCGTTATTTCTAGGCCTGCCATGGTTAGGATACCCACAGACAGAAATACTTTGTAATGTAAATTGAACTTATTTCTGTGAATGTTCAAACTTCAACCTTCAGTGAAATATAGGAGCCACGGTGGCTAAGTAAGTAAGACGTTGCCTTGCAAGCCTGGAGGTCGAGGGTTCGATCCTGGTGTTGGAATCATCAGGATTTTCTGGTGTGGTAAGCGCGTACACATTGTTTGTAAGGACTGTTCCCTCGCAAGTTTTCTCTGGGTCCTCCGGTTTCCTTCCACTGCTAAAGACCCCTACATGCAAGCGAATTATTGAAATAAAATTGAACCATATGTTAGTCACAAAATGACCTAGTTTATATCGAGTTGATGTTAAACGCCATTTCTCTCTCTCTCATCTTAAGTGACAACAGGGTTCAGGAAAACCAAATTAGTCAACATAATCATGACAATATTTAGCTGAGAGTGGTTAAATTGAAGTGACAATAAAATTTCAGCAAGGTAGTTTTGTGTTGTCAATGTATTTTTTGCACGTTTTGTTTTTTTGTTTTTCTGCCCAAATCATAAAGAAATCTAGATATATTTTTTTGTTTTTTAGCTGATAAAGCTCACAGAGATATGAAAGTAAATAAAACAAGTCAGTCTATTATTGTAAGTGGCGAGTCAGGAGCTGGCAAGACCGAATCAACCAAATACATCCTCAAATATCTAGCTGAGAGTTGGGGAACACATGCCGGACCAGTGGAACAACGTATATTAGATTGTAAGTTTAATTTTAAACATGCATTATTCAAGAGCTAACTCTGCCTATTGCAGATCTCTCTTTAGGCCTGAAATGTTTTCTAAATTATTAGACATTTATTAACATGACAAAACCATAATCAACTCTCAATGCCATCGGATGGGTCTGATTTTTAAGAAGATTAGAACGGTTCAGCCATTTAATGATTTACCGTTAAAATGTTGAAGCGAGGCTTAGCCTAGAACAACAAGTGCAGTGGTTACAATCATCTTGTCAAACCTTCAAAGGCTAATATCTTCACACAGAATAAAGTAATTTGAATGAAATTTTCAATATATTTATTTTGTAATCCTTATAAGACATATAGAGGTAGATTTCACAAATTAAAAACACTTATATGGATATACTACTTCTGAAGTACTTTTAATTAAGTACTTCTTAATTAATGATTAATCTGTTACATGGTTTCCAATTGTTAACTATATATTGCACCATATTTTTGTTATATATCATTTTGCATTATCTATTTTTGAACTATTATTGAGGGGGGGATCACGTGGCTAAGTGGGTAAGACACTGGCTCGTTAGCCTGGAGGTCGGGTGTTCGATCCCTGCATTGGCCGAGAAAGTTCATCCAGATTTTCTGGTGTGGTTCCCCCTTGTCAGTGATGCAGGACGGAGGGCCTGACAAGGACAGCTGTCTAGTCGTTCAGATGGGACGATCAACCAAGGTCCCGTGTACACATTGGCGTGCATGTAAAAGATCCCTTGGCAGTTGGAATTCGATATAAGAGTAGGCTGTAGAGCCACTGTCTGGGCAAAATTTCCCTCATAGCACACTGTATGGCGTATGCCCATCTTCATTAGCCCAGTTCGGAGCAGAACTGTAGGACGATAAACCCCATTTCATTTCACTATTATTGAGAGGACGGCCAGCTCTTTATATCTAAATATTATTACATAATGTATCTTTGATATTGATCAACAAACGATGAATTTATCAAAAATTTTCTGGGTGTTTTATTGGTTGTTGACGTTTTTTTTTAAAATTTCAGCCAATCCTTTATTGGAAGCATTTGGTAATGCTAAAACCGTCAGAAATAACAACAGTAGTCGATTTGGAAAATTTGTAGAGATTCATTTTGATAAAAAGGTAATTATTTAAACTTGATGTCTTAATGATTAACAGAGTCATGTGGTCAGCAATCAAGTTTTACCATGTCACTTTCTTCTTAAAGGGGTGGGGGGGTTAGATGGCCGAATGGTTGTCTGTCATTGGGTCAACTGGCGTGGTTTCGAATCCCCGGTTGTACGTGACAAGGAATAGGGTCGCCTGTCTGACCTTGTGGGTTTTCTCCGGGTCCTAGCTGGTTTCCTCCCACTGCTAAAGACCCCAATGCGCAAGTGAATTATTGAAATAAAATTGAACCATGTGTTAGTCCCGAAATGACTTAGCTTGTGTCGAGTGGACGTTATAAACTCCATTTCTCTCTCTCTCTCAAAAACTTAATGGATTTTTATACTTTCAGTCATTGGTTTGTGGAGGTTTTATTTCTCATTATCTACTGGAAAAATCACGTATTTGTATTCAAAGTGGTGAGGAGAGAAATTATCATATATTTTATCGACTATGTGCTGGGGCACCGGAGGATTTAAAACAGAAATTGAAACTAGGAGCTCCTGATAGCTTCCAGGTAGGTAAACCAAGAGTAAAATATAGACCTACTTTTTTTTTAAGATGGTCGCTTCAGAGAGGTGGTTGTAGTCAAATGATACTTAAAAGAATTAAATAATTCTCCTAATAATCGATGTCGTGGTAATAGTTGATTATTTTGTAGTATTAGTCGATTTTAATTGGAATATTCTGTATTGTATTTTTATTTGCATGAAAGAGTGGTTTTTAAAGGGATCATAGATTTTATATTGTTTTGAGAAACTTTTGATCTCAAAGATTAAAACAAAACTGATATATATATTGTGCCTTTAATGGCATAGTTAAAGTGAAAGTACGAGTAGATAAATCTTACAGTTTTGTTTATCTGTAGGTTAAATGGTAGAAAATTTAATCTTTGTGGTTACTGACACTTAATTAATGGATATCCTTAATCATTTAGTAGTCCCAATGCTTTTTTTTATGAATTTTCCACACATGCCTTAAATCATTACCAATTTCAAATTTACATTCTATTGACCATTGTTCCGAGGTGGTTGCCCCTTGTCAGTGGTGCAGGACAGAGGGACTGAGCTGACTAGGACAGCTGTCTTATCGTTCGGATAGGATGGAAAACCGAGGTTCCGTGTATACACTGGCATGAACGTAAAAGATTCTGTGGCAGTTGGAATTCGAAATAAGAGTAGGCCATAGTGCAGCTGCCTTGGCAAGATTTCGCTTATAGTACACTGTATGGTGTATGCCAGTCTTTATTAGCCAAGTCAGAGCAGAACAGTAGGATGTTAAACCCCATTTCATTTCCTATTGGCCATGTGTTCTAAATTTATATTATATCATACTGCGCATGCACTTTTAAATTCTACATACAAAGTTGTAGTCTATTGATATTGCCCATGGATAACCTGGTGTAATTTTGTCAGCTTTTCTGATTCTTACAAACACAAAGCCAAGAAACACTCCAATTAGATTTAATATTTCTTGTGAACTCCATGCCAGAAATGGATGATTCTTTAAAATTAATAAAATGTCTACAATAGAATTAAACCATAATTTAATATATCTTGTAAACTGCATGTCAGAAATGGATGATTCTTTAAAAATAATTTTAAGATGTCTACTATAATTTCCTACTCGTACTTTCACTTAAATTGGTGGCTTGAATGGTTGGTGTATGTTTCCACTTTTTTATGTTGTAAGATTTTTTAAATTAGATGTCATCTTTGAAAAACTTTTTCAAGAAAGTTCTTGATATTGCTTTCAAGAATAGCATGAATGGTTGCCATGGGAGTCTTCAATGCATTATTTGCTTATTGCAGAAATTTCACATATGTGAATTGCTTATTACTTGATATTTAAAACACCTTTTTCATTGAAATCAGGGGGTTGGGTGTCCGAATGGTCAGCACGTGCGCACTGTATCATAAGGTATGTCATTGAGTCAACTGACATGGTTTTGATTCCCTGGTTGTACGTGACAAGGAGTAGGGTCACCTGTCCAACCTCGTGGATTTTCTCCAGGTCCTCAGGTTTCCTCCCACTGCTAAAGATCCCTACTATACGTGCAAGCGAATTATTGAAATAAAATTGAACAATGTGTTAGTCCCAAAATGACCTAGTTTGTGTCGAGTGGAAGTTAAACCCCCCCTCTCCCCTCTATCTCTCTCTCTCTCTCTCTCTCTCTCTCTCTCTCTCTCATAGTGAAATCAGTAGATAAAGGTGTTTTATAGTTAAGGTTTAGGATTATGCACTTAGAGTCAAATTATACATAATACAGTGTTTCAAAGAAAACTATTCAGAGATGTAAAACGTCACTCATTTCTCATCTGCCTTTTTAGATTTAATAAGTTTAATCAAGCCCAAATTCAGAAATATTTCATTCATGATCAATTTTATTTTGTTAAGAAATATTTTCTCTTGCATCTCTGAAGAGTTTTTTTTGAAGGATTGTATGTATAGAGCTTATTGTTTTTCACATTGCATGCATGATTGCTTTAGTAATGTGATTTTTTTGTGTAGTATCTGAAAAATGGATGTACACAGTACTTTATTTCACGAGCTTCAGAAAAGGCTTTGAATGACAATAGAAAAAGTAAAGAGGTAAGATTGCTATGATCGCAATATTGATTTATTGGTAATGCAGGCTTTCCTGTTATGTTTGCACTTAATCACTGAACACAGGAATTATAAATCAACGTAGACATCATGGATGCTATTTTGAAATAGCAACACTGGTAGACATCTGAAAAATTGTCACCCTGATAAAGGATGGGTATTGGTGTTAATCTAGCTATTATGAAAAAGCTGGATTTTATTGAAAAGATGAGCTACAAAACAAGCCCCCCCCCCCCATCCTTTTTGGTTGTATTGTTTATTAATTTGGTTAATAAATCAGAACCCAAATATTAATAAATGAGATTTTCTATAAACTCGAAAAAAATTAAAAGGTGAGTTATCATTAAGAAATGTTTGTTAAAATAGACGTTAATATAGATATATTTATATTTATTATAACAGTATTTAAAGAAAGGTAGTTTACGGGATCCTGTATTAGATGATGTTAGAGATTATAAAGTCTGTGATGATGCCATGACAAAGATGGGTATTAATGTAGAAGATAAACTAGCTATATTTACTATTGTTGGTGCAGTTCTTCATCTGGGTAATATATCTTTTGAAGAAAGTGAAGGTACAAAAGGTAAGCTTAAAGATTAATTTTAATGGTCTGTGATGTATTCTTTGAATGGCATTTAGTAAATGAGACATAATCAAATACGACACTATTATGGATAACCAATTAATATGGTTGATTTATACTGCGACGTGTAATGGTAAATGGCCGAATGGTTAGCGTGTGCGTGTTGTATCATAAGGGCTGTCATTGAGTCAACTGGCGTGGTTTCGATTTCCCGGATGTACATGACAAGGAGTAGGGTCACCTGTCCAATCTTGTGGGTTTTCTGTTATGCTTGAACTGTTTTGCAGAAAAAACTAATTGCATGACAAACAAGGCTATCAAAAACAGCTACAATGTTAACGATACTGTTTGGAGACAAACAATACTTTTGCCATTTTAATACCTTAAATTACTGTCCAGAGTTTTAGGGAATACCACAGATTAAACGAAGGGCTGTCGTGTTGCTGTAGTTGGGATAAATTTGATTGAACGGGAAAAATAGACACACTCCCTCAAAAGCTCAAGTATCATAAGTCAACCTAGCAATGGTCAGAGAGGGATTTCTCGGGCAATTGCTTCAGGAATATGACTGAGTATTGACTTTTAGGTAACCCCTACCCAAATTCAAATATATTTAAAATGCTTGATGTAAAAATGTGAATTATTTACAGGTGGTTGTTCTGTAACCAAGGCATCAGAAGAAACTTTGACAACTGTTGCATCACTTATTGGTGTAGATAAGGAAGAACTAAGGGAATCTCTCACTTCTAGAGTCATGCAAACATCAAGAGGAGGGTCAAAAGGAACAGCTATCAAGTAATTTATTTTTATTTCTATTACATTGATTCAATCTGATTAAAATACAGATCTTTATTTCATTTCGTTTTTTTTTTATACTTTTGATGGCCTACAAAACATGAAGATCTGACCATTTGTTTTTGGAGGTTGCATCAGAGGTCATACAAGTGGCTTTTGACCCTATGCCATCAGACATTTGATTAACCAATCAGTGCACCTCACGCCTAAAGATCGCCATAACAGACTGTTTCATTGGCTAATCCTTCACATCATCCAGAACACGTCAATGATAACAACCCTTCCAGATCCCAGTGTAGTAAAGACAAGTAAAAGGAAATTTTGAAGTATAAAAAACGAAACAAAATAGGATCAGTGTTTTAATCAGATTAACATTGATTTAATGAAATAAGTATTTTACCCCATCTATTTAACACAGTCCTCACACACACTTTATCAGTCAGCACCATCTTTCTGTTAAGAGCTGTGTGCATGCTGATGGTCTACACATGAATGCCTCCCTCCCCATCTTTCTTTTTGTGTCCATCATTGGTCTATCAGAGTCCATGTGTGACCACCACCTGTCTGTTGGTGTCTTCTGTTTGAGTTCCCTATCTTTCTATCATAGTCAAACAGCCTTGAAGGTCCACCAACTTCTTACTGAAATGAAATGCAGTTTAACGTCCTACTGTTCTGACTGGGCTAATGAATACTGGCATACGCCATACAGTGTGCTATGTGGGAAATTTTGCCTGGACAGCGGCACTATGACCTACTCCAATATTGAATTCCAACTGCCAGAGGATCTTTTACGTGCATGTCAATGTATACACATCACCTCATGTTTTTTTTGTCCCATCCGAATGACTAGACAGCTGTCCTTGTCAGGCCCTTCGTCCTGCACTACTGACAAGGGAGAACAATGCCGGAAAATCCCGACAAACATTCCCGGCCAACACAAGGAGTGAATCTGCAATCTCCAGACTAACGAGCCAGTGTCTTACTCACTTAGCCACCGTGGCTCCCCTTTTATACTGGAGCCCACTGTCTTTCTTTAATCATCCTTTCTATTGATGTATACCATCTTTCCTTTTCAACCGGTGTCCACCAATCATTTAATTGAAGTCCGATATCTTTTTGTTGTTATCCAATCAAAGTAAAAGCTTTGTCAATGTACGAAAAGGTGGAAAATAGTTTTACTTTTAAGTAAAACTTAATGCTTTTTGTTTCTAATATATTTTGAATATTCATAAATGATTCAGAAATTTGTTAGTATTTTGAATTTAAGCATTTTTATGTTAATTTGTATGCCACCTCAATCAATGATACAGGTATATGTATTTCTTTTTACTAGGGTACCATTGAAAGTAGGTGAAGCTCAGAGTGGAAGAGATGCCTTGGCAAAAGCTATTTACTCTAAACTCTTTGATTATATTGTGCAGCGTGTTAACCAAGCTATTCCATTCGGTTCTTCATCAAATTATATTGGTGTCTTGGATATTGCTGGTTTTGGTAAGTATATATTATTTAGTAATTGATCAAGTGCTTGTTATAATGTATATATTTATGGCTTCCGTTTACTGTATAAATACTTAGGGTTTAAGCTATTTGTTATCATTTTCTTGATAAAGACGAGAGCAGTCTGATTAAAACACAGATCTTATTTCATTTTGTCTTTTATGGTTCAAAATTTCGATTTACTTGTCATTACTATGCAAGGATTTGGAAGAGTTGTTATGCAACCTGCGTTCTGGATGATGTGAGGGATTAGCCAATGAAACGGTCTGTTATGGCGAGTTTTTGGCGTGAGGTGCACAGAACTGCGAGTAACCCACAAGAAACATCAACGCTGATTTGTTAATCAAATGTCTGATGTCATAGGGTCAAAAGCTGCTTGTATGACCTCTGACGCAACCTTCCACTACAACAGGACAGATCTTCATGTAGTGTAGGCCATTGAAAGTAAAAAAAAACGAAACCAAATATAGATCTGTATTTTAATCAGATTGAGATGAGAGTATCATTGTCGAAACGTTACATGTTAATTGATATTCTATAAATAGTTTTTAGTGTGCATATGATATTTACTTAGATTTAGAAGTTCACAAAATCATAAAACATCATCGTAAATTAAACATATTAGGGGAAAAGATACATGTATTATTTCTACAATTATGCTAATTAACTATGGCTATATGTCTTCCAGAATATTTCCAAGTAAACAGCTTTGAACAGTTTTGTATTAACTACTGCAATGAAAAACTACAACAATTCTTTAATGAAAGAATTCTAAATGAGGTAAGTTCTGTACATTGCACTAATTAAAGGTACAATATGTAAGATTTAGATAAAGAGCTAGCTATTCTTACTATGAAAGTTCGAAAATACATAATGTATAATGAATGATTTGAAAATTTCATTCAAATTGCGAGCAAAAATATTTGCCTTTGAAGGTTTGACAAGATTTGTGTAATAATTTCAACCACCACACTGGTTGTTCGAAGCTATGTCTTGTTCCTCCATTTTTAGATTAAATCAAAATATGACTGAACCGTTCTAATGTATTTAATATCGGAGAAATCCGATGCCATCGAGAGTTGCAATAGGCAGATTTAGCTCTTGCATAATGTATGTTTAATTCACCAGTTATCAAGATCTTATAATGTCACTTGTTATGGTCTTTATATAAACATTTACCAATATGAACAGAGCCTTTTACTTCTATTGGGTACCTCGGTGACTAAGTGGGTAAGACGCTGGCATGCTAGCCTGGAGGTCGCGTGCTTGATCCCTGCATTGGCCGCGAAGTTCATCAGAATATTCCGGCATAGTTTCCCCTTGTCAGTGGTGCAGGACGGAGGGCCTGCCAAATACAGCTGTCTAGATGTTCGGATGGGACAAAAAAAAAAACTGAGGTCCCGTGTATACATTGGCGTGCATGTAAAAGATCCCTTCGCAGTTAGAATTCTATATAAGTGTGGGCCATAGTGCCGCTGCCCGGGCAAAATTTGCCTCATAGCACACTGTATGGCGTATACCGTCTTCTTTGGCCCAGTTGAAGCAGAACAGTAGGACGTAAACCCAATTTCATTTCTTACTTCTAGTATTCATTTTACAAATATTATTCATTAACTTTTTCAGGAACAAATTTTATATGAAAAAGAAGGATTAAATGTACGCAAGATCCAATGGACTGATAACCAGGATTGTATTGGTATGTGTTTAAGTCAACTTAATAATCATTTACATAGATAGGCTAAGCCCCTTCCTTAATCCTATTCACAGAATAAAGTAAAGAAATTTTTTGTCAATATTTCATGTGAGAGCTTATTGTTGTCACCCCTATCAGTCTGTCTGCTCACAATTAATTGGTAATCTCAGCTATTTGAACAGAATAATTGCCATAGTGGCAGATTGGTCTTTCCCATGTTAGTCCCAAAATGACCTAGTTTGTGTTGAGTATGTTAAAACCCATTTACCTCTCTCTCTCTGGGGATCACGATCTCACATTAAACCCATATTGAAGGAACTACACTGGTTACCAATTCACTCCCGAATTGACTACAAACTTCTTTGTATTGTTCATAGATGTCTTCATGGTTCCAGTCCTGCATATCTATCAGAGCTA